CTTTGCTGTAATAAAGGCTTCGTATACAGTATATATATTTATTTCGTTTGAACAGACTCTGGTAGACTTATAATTGATTTAGTGTTTACGCTGTTCCAAATATTAATACATTATATTGTCGTCTAACAGCACCTGTTTGGCACATACAGGCCTAATATTCACGCAGCGCTTGCTGCTATACCCTCCTTTTTCTTGATCTCCAGTAGTTTCTACAACCAAGTCAAATGTCTTCCACACATCTAACTTCCCTTTTCCCTCCTGCGCAACCAGTAAACGTTCCCCCATTTCAAGTTTCTTTTTCATGTCCTCTGCACCTATTTTGCACCTATTTTGCTGTCGTGTGTTTGGAGTTTGTTATAACCAATTTATTGATATGATTGATAGGCTATAGGTCCGGCCCTATTGGTCAAGTGCATGTGATGCATACATTTGTCACGTATAGAGAGCAAGGGTTGAGGGAATAGGGAATGTTTTTCTTAAACAAATGAGGGATTTTGATATCAGAACTTTGCAGTCAGAGAAACCATTAACAAACTAAATGGCTGTAATTATGTTGCAGCTCCAGCACGGACAGTGCGATAAACACTTGCTGTGCTATGGTCCCTGGTCGCTGCAGCAGGGAGGAGAGACAACGTGCGGCAGTCACACAGGCACTCGCTGTAATTTGTTTTTAATACAGCGTGGCCATTGGGCTCCCTCTTGAGTCATTTGGCTGTCTTAATTATTTAATCAAACAGTGCGCTTAAAGCATCAGACAAGCTCCATGCATATAGTTGATTTTATTCAAACGCATGGAAGAACATATTGAAAAATACATGTTTTAAAATATCCAACAATCGATTGGGCGAAAGAACCAATGACTCTAGGTCGACAAATATGTTTTTGTTGTTGACAGGGACAGGCCTATTTGATTTTGTCTATCCTCACCAGACATGTTCTAAACCAACTGTGAAACAACTATATTAATTTGGGCACAGGTTGAAACACACAAACATTCATGGACATTGCTAGCTAATTTGTCCTGGGAGATACACATTTTACCTGAAATGCATATGGTCCTTTTTTGGCTGGATCTTTGTAGAATTTTGACCCATTTTGAGTCATACAAAATTGTGTGCTCTCTACTCTAACAATTAATCCGCAGATAAAATGGGAAACCTATATAGTTTTTTTCTTTGATTAATCTCTCCTCGTTCATTTTATATGGCGGTTTGCAACCAACTTTTAAGGTGCATTACCGCCACTAACTGGACTGGAGTTTGGACCAATTTCATCTTTCAAACACCGTTGTGGGTTAAGATGCTCGTAAAAACCATGGGAGAGGCGGGACTTGCAGGGCATCAAGTGTCTAAAATAGAATTAAGTTATATTTTAGTGCCCGGTTACGCAGACACCCGTGAGCAGTTTGGATGAAATGATTTGAATAACGTGTGTAAATGTCATGTTAGAACGTTCAAATATGTGGGACAGCCCTTTTTGTGAAACCTGCAAAATCACTGTGTTCGTATTTGCTCTTTGCGATGGGTTTTCCTCAACTTATCAGAGTAAGATCGATGTGACATTTTGACTGAAATATAAGGTTAACAAAAAAATTCCTTCGCTTCTGTCATTTACATGTTTCCATCCAACCTTTTTATGCGAGTAAAGTACGTCAGATAAAAATGGAATGACAGGCATGGAAACAAACATTTTCGGGAAACTTTCGAAATGTCGACAAAACAACAAAATACACTACACAAGGTGGTGTCTTTTTGTCGGTAAAAAGCGAGGATTGTTGGTGGAAATGCTTTTATGTGCAAATATTGATATCATAACCATCAATCAATCAAATTGTATTTATAAAGCCCTTTTTACATCGGCAGATGTCACAAAGTGCTAGACAGAAACCCAGCCTAAAACACCAAACATTGCAGATGTAGAAGCACGGTGGCTAGGAAAAACTCACTAGAAAGGCAGAAACCTAGGACAAAACCTAGAGAGGAACCAGGCTCTGAGGGGTGTGCCGGGTGGAGATTATAACAGTACATGGCCATTTAAGGACAGAATTTTATCCAAGATTTTCAAACGTTCATAGATGACCAGCAGGGTCAAATAATAATCACAGTGGTTGTAGAGGTTGCAACAGGTCAGTACATCAGGAGTAAATGTCACTTGGCTTTTCATAGCCGGGCAGTTAGAGGTTGAGAGAGAGAGTTGAAAACAGCAGGTCTGGGACAAGGTAGCACGTCCGGTGAACAGGTCAGGGTTTCATAGCCACAGGCAGAAGAGTGAAAACTGGAGCAGCAGCACGACCAGGTGGACTGGGGACAGCAAGCAGTCATCAGGCCAGGTAGTCCTGAGGCATGGTCCTAGGGCTCAGGTCCGCCAGGATGGGAGGGAGAGAGAGAGAATTAGTGGGAACGTACTTAGTCACACAGGACACCGGATAAGACAGGAGAATCACACCAGATATAACACCAGATCCCACTACGACTTGTCGGGAAAGCATGCATTTTATTAGGCTACAGAGGGAATAAGTTATGATGAACTTGTGGTGAAAGTGCAAGGTGATGAGCTTGATGCTCCTTTACAATAAATATCACAAGGGTCTTATTCTGGTGACATGATAATCGATGCTTGGCTGCCGTTTGACAAATACAAATCTTCATCTTTTGTCCATAATAATAATTTCATCATGTAGGCTGTACGCAATACCAGAGTGGGCACACTCTCTATATAACGCAAATGTTTGGTGAGAAAACCATCAGTGTTGAAAATGTGATGGAAACCCATTTTACTTGTTTCTTTGGGGGGGTGTATTTAACCGCAAAAATTATTTTTATGTGTACTACGTCATCACGCACAATAAGTCAATCTGGTGGGAAAATGTACATATTGTTTTTATGCAGTGTTTCTATATGCACATAAATCTGTTGCCAATTGGATGGAAACCTAGCTAGAGACACAAAATAACAGCATGTTACAAAGTAGAGCTTCGTAGCTACGTTTTGATGTATGGATTTTCAGTGATGGGTCCAAATTCACGTTTCGCCACCTCCATTTCTATGACGAGTGCTAGCTTGCTAGCTGTGTGGGAGTGCCTGACGCTGTTCGCTGAGGCAACGAGCTGGGCTAGAGGCAGCGCTGTGCGGCATTGGCTGTATTGTGTCAGCTGCTAATTTTGTGATGGTTTTATTCTTTCAAGTAAAAACCACCAGAATTCAGTGGCTACAGCTCTACAATCGAGAAAAACATTAGCTAAATATTAGTGAATTGAAAATGTGTCCCATCTATCTTTCTGTGCAGCTGGCTAGCAGGCGGCTCACTTTCTCTTCTGTGCCTAGGCTAATTATTTTCTGCAGTTTATCCTCCCATCACCAGAGTAACTCATCAACACTAAAAATAACATTACAATGTAATCCAACTTGGGTGTAGGCCTACCTTTAGAAGTAAGGTATGTTATTAGACTAGTCGCAATCTGTGCTACAGTTCAGACTTAGTGAGAATGGATGCAGAGAATGTGTGTGTGTGTGTGTGTGTTGGTGTGGGTGCTGTGTGTGAGGGTGTGGTGTGTTTGAGTTAAGTATCTAATTTGCATAAAGTAGTATAAAAGGTTGTATTCTAATTTCATAAATTTTTCAAATTGTTAATATGTCCACCATACCTTAAATTATTGGTCTTTAAATTACTGTAATTATGTATTACATACTGCCTAATTTGCATAATATAGCATTTTTTATGTAATATTTACTTTTTACCATCCTATCATGAGATATTGGACAAAATATGTTGAATTTAAGGATCCAGACAGGCCATTTGGTGCCATTATTGACTAGGGATTAACATTGACCTGTCTGCGACCTTTTTCCGATAACTTCAAAATAAGTTATTTTACATTTTAGTCATTTAGCAGACGCTCTTATCCATAGCGACTTACAGTTAGTGAGTGCATACATAATTTTTTTTTCATACTGGCCCCCTTGGGAATCGAAACCACAACCCTGGCGTTGCAAGCGCCATGCTCTACCAACTGAGCTACACGGGGAGTTATCGCATCAATGGGAAGTCCTATCCTTGTGAAATTGTTCTGTGTTCCTGAGATGCTTCTCTATAACATGGAATACAAAGTATAACACGAGAACCAAAGTTTCATTTTGTCCCCTAACACCCCACCTAACAGTACTCCTTATAGTCCAAGGACTTTACATGTTCTGTTGAAAGGCGAATTGGCTTTGGAAGCCAAAACAGCCAAATACTCCAACTAAATGAGAATCGATACTCAATTGCGGTACTGTTCTAGAAACATAAATCCCTCTACTTTCATATTACAAAATAATTTCACAAATGCAAAATACACCCTTACTGTTTTAACCGGATTTAACATAGTTGCAGCTGACAGTATTTTTCAGTGACTGCACGTTTGTGGTATAAGTCTTGCGTTTACACACAGGTGTTCGGAGACGCACAGCTAATTAGCACAGGTAGTCCACTCTGTCTTCCATCTGTTTTCCTTAAACAAGCACTGTAACATGGAAATATGGCCATGTGGGAACCCTAACCCTATAAAGGTATCAATTTAACCTTTTTTTGTTTTTTATAAATTATGTCTGTGATATGAAAGGTCCTTATGCTTCCAAAACCATACCGCAAGCGATGTGTGTTAATGTTCAGACAGAGCACCGGGGCTCCTAACAAAACTCCCCTGTACAGAAAACGCCTTTTCCAATGACTTTTTTTGTGTAATGTAATGGAACTGAGAGTCATCAAGGTCTAAGCAGCAGGTACCAAATCATAAGGCATGAGGTTGCCTGGGTTCTTTGGAGGCAATGAAACATCAGTCCTTGAGGCTCAGTATAAGAATTGGGTTTCTGGTAGCATGTAAAATGATACGAGGAACATTATCATCCCCTTTCGGCTTTCCCCCTAAAAATGTTGCTTGGCAACAGGGTTAGCTACTTATCATAATCTTTGGTGATATCCAAAGATAGGGGTCTTTGTTACTCAGAGGTGTTTGTGTTTCCGTAGACGCATCTCCAAGTGAGAACCAAAGCACAACATCTTTCAATGGCGAATTGAATGGACTTCTGGGAGCAGACTTTATAGGAGCTGGCGACAGGTCAACCATGGCTGAATCCACAGGCCCTAATTCAGAGAACATGAACACCCAAGACTGTCAGATCATGTAAGTTATAAAGTTACCTCTTCTTTATTTTTCTCTGCCTGCATAGAGATTTCTCTGATACAGAAATGCACATTTCAGTATTCTGTGAAAACCCTTTGGGTTGATTGAATGTTGAAACCCATGTTCAAGGTAGATCTCTTTATGAGATCAAGTATCCAGTTAACATTGTATTTGGTTTCTTCACCAGCTGCCTCTCTGGGGATGATGGCTCCACTTGCATTCCCATCACATCCAACAATGTTGAAATTGTGGCCAGTCGAGACTCAAGCATTGACAGCAAAGCCCGTGGCAGCAACAAGGTAAGACTTAGAGGATTAAAGGCCCAGTGCAGTCTCAATTTTATTTTCCTGTGTTTTGTATCATATTTGTACAATAGCTGATAAAACAAACAGTGTAAAAGTGTTATTTCCTGATAAAGAACGACCGACTAAGCGCCGGCCGTTGGCCAAATACCCAGTTCCAGGCTCATTTCCAGCCGGCTACTTTTTCCAAAGTTATAAACTATCTTTTAAAATATGTGTGCCTGCCTAGTGCATCCTGAGTGCCATATATACAAACTGAATACAGCTTCGTTAATGTCATGGTTTCACAATTGTTATACTGAAAACCGCGTTTCTAGCCCAAACCGTTTAAAAGATATGTTCCATTTTTTCTGGAGCTATGTTTTTTTTTTTTTTCTATTGTGCATTCGCAGGAAACATTTGATAAGTGCAGCAATGTGCACACGGTGGTACGCGCAAAGGTTACAAATGCAATTAGCGGGAAAACACTTGTAAAAAGCGCACTGCACATGCGAGTGGTTTCATGTGTCAGAGATGGAAATATTCATTCGAATTTTAGGAGGGGATACCTAAAGATTCAACAACTAGCATGGGTAGCTAATATGGCTAGGATTGTTCCTTTGGCTGCTGGACAACTAAATAATGTTGATTTGAAAAACAATAGAACAGTAGAGAAATGCTTGTTTCAATGGCATATGAGGAGGTGTTTCATAAAATCATTCCTTCTGGCTAGCCTTCTTTGAAGCAAGGTAAGACGTGCTTCATAATATGAAGTAAAACGTCCAGGTTTCATTCAAACAATTAAGTCTATTGTTAATGGTTTCAACATGCAGACTGCCTCCAGCTCAGATTGCAAGGGGTGATGTGCGATGACTGGCACTGGGCTTTCACTCTCCGCTCTTGTGATCTGAATCAAAGCCTTTCGACATCAATGTTAATTATCCTACATTATATTTGGCAAACTTGAGTAATTAACAGTCTCATTAAAGTTTGATGCGGAGCATGGGTGGCCTCAAGTGGAGAATTGTTAAAAAATTATGCCCAGCTCTTGAGGCACCTTGATTATGTGAGGCCTGAGGCAATTGCCTCTTCTGCATAATGGTAAGTCTGCCACTGATGTCATGGACATGTTGATTGTAAGTCATAAAAACAAGAATAGGCTATATTGAAATGCTTCATACCTCAATAGTACTGTTTTGTCATTTTAGTACCGATACCAGGTTTAGTATCACGATACTCAATACCAAAACAATACCACAGCTAGTCATGACGGCAGTCAAATTCCACGTGACCGTTTAGTCACGGTAATTAGGCTTCTCCAAGCTTTGATGCTGCTGATGGTCATTAGTAGCCTACCAAACTTGCGAACTGCCTGGTACTCAGCACTATTGTCCCTCTAATCATTCTGACATCAATGCAAATGTAATCAAAAATCTAATCAAACACTTAATGAGAGCCAATGAGATCATGTTGCACAACATTTCTATAGGCTATGCAATTGCGTGAGAAAACCGAGTGATGACCTCTATTAAAAAGAGGAGGATCCCGTCAGCTTTCTATAGGCTAGTCCTACTATATTATTTCTCAACCTTCCTAATATTAAGCACATTGCTTCTCTTTACAACAGGAGTATAGCCCACCTTGCTGGCATGAAAATGAACAATGGGAAAAGCGTCCTCCATTCGCTATTTAAGTGCATAGATGTATTTATTCCCCCTGCCCCTGTTTTGAGACGGGTGCATGATAGTGGTCCATTCTAAATCAAAACAAATTTCACATATATTATTTAGTATATGTAAAGACAAGATTAAATCAAGAATAGTATGATGGATGACAATATTAGCCTATCACTGAAGGATATATTATCACTTGTGAATGATGCCCAACTTGTGTGCAGTAAGACAAGAAACAGCGCATACCTTTTATTTGCCACTTTTTGTAATCATAGTCGCACACCTCATGTAGCCTAGCCCATAGGCCTATATGTTTTGATAAGGTTTGTATCACAACTAATGTGGCCAAATAACTTATTAAAATGATGCACATTAATCTGCTTTACAACTGGTGTAGAGCCTAACTGGCATACATACGTAGCACGTGAGTTTCAAGTTTGGGGAAGATCATTTTCACCATAAAAATTCACCTTTATAATGAAAGCATTACATGCATAATCGCATTTGCGGTAACTATTGAGAATGGTGTTTTCCCGTTATTGAAAACATTTTGGAACATTCGCGCTTATAGCCTACTGTGCATTGCTGTGCTTATAATGTGAAGAAATAGCCTAATAGTTTATCAACATTTTAAGCTAAATGTTCTGATCTGTTGTGTCAGCTTCATTGCTTTTAAATGTTTTTTGAGGCCGATATAGATAGCTTTTCAGAACCCCTACTTGCAGGTGAATGCATCGTTTGTTTTCTAATAATTGCAACACAGTGTTTGTATTCAACTATATTTTACAAAATCAGGAAAATGCGGCCGCTAGTGTGTCCCGATACGCAAACAAGCTACCGGTATCTTGTTTTGTAAAGTACTGTAGCCTGTATATGGACATTGCCGAACAGTAAATCAATGAATACTTTCAATATGTCTACATGCCGTGTGGTATTATTCTAGTGTGCTTAAACTTGACTATATGCAGCATGAGTGGGTAGCTAACAAGATGCGTTCCAGCCAGAGATTCCTCACCGGCTTGCAACAGTTTAACACGAGGCAAGTGCCCTCGCCCTTTATATGACTTCCCAATGAAAACTAGTTTAATAATTCTAACATATATTTTATGGAAAAGAGATGTGTGTTTCTGAACAATGCATCATGCTGCCTTGTTGACAACATGACAGAGCGGCACAGATTAATGTTCGACAGTGGTGTAAAAATACTTTAATGTACTACTCAAGTAGTTTTTTTGGGGTATATGTACTTTACTTTACTATTTATATATTTTTTAACTTTTACTTCACTACATTCCTAAAGAAATAATGTACTTTTTACTCCATACATTTTCCCTGACACCCAAAAGTACTCGTTACATTTTGAATGCTTAGTAGGGCGGGAAAATGGTCCAATTCAAGCACTTATCAAGAGAACATCTCTGCTGCCTCTGCTCTGGCGGACACACGAAACAGAAATGCTTAGTTTGGAAATGATGTCTGAGTGTTGGAGTGTGCCCCTGGCTATTCCTAAATAAAAAAAAATAAAAAACGGTGCCGTCTGGTTTGCTTAATTTAAGGAATTTGAAATATTGTATACTTTTGCTTTTGATACTTAAGTATATTTTAGCAATTACATATACTTTTATTTCTTAAGTATATTGAAAACCAAATACTTTTAGACTTTTACTCAAGTAGTATTTTACTGGGTGACTTTCACTTTTTGAGTAAGGTATCTTTACTTTTAATCAAGTATGACAGTTGCATACTTTTTCCACCACTGCTGTTCGATTTGAGCAGTGCGGCTTAGCCCGGTCACGTGACGGGCCATAGCCTGGTGCAACCAGGGCTTTTTTAATACAATCCCCTCGGTTAATAGACCATTACTAAATAGTTCCAAACCCCTCTGCCAATAACAGCTAGTTTTCAGGTTACATATCCCTCTTATTAGGCCCCCCTCTGGTCGATTATTCCCCGCACCACATTCCTAACTGTGGTTTAATGCACCACTTTGGTGCTTTCCCCTGCTGCACTGAGACCACTCCGACAGTCCTAGCAATATTCTTGCTTGATATGTTTATTTTGCTATAAAGCTATTTGTGTTGCTATTACAGTATGTTTCTTAAATGTTACAAATAAATAATTTAATATTGAGATAAAAACAGCTGCACTGGGCCCTCAACTGTCCTTGAGAACATGAAAAAGGTAATCAGGGTGATTACACCAACATTCTCAGACGAAAACAATGTAAAGACAATTATTTTAGGCAAAGGGTGGCTGTGTCACAAGTCTAGATATCTCTAGGTACAGTGAGGGAAAAAATTATTTGATCCCCTGCTGATTTTGTACGTTTGCCCACTGACAAAGACATGATCAGTCTATAATTTTAATGGTAGGTTTATTTGAACAGTGAGAGACAGAATAACAACAACAAAAATTGCATTTTAATGAGGGAAATAAGTATTTGACCCCTCTGCAAAACATGACTTAGTACTTGGTGGCAAAACCCTTGTTGGCAATCACAGAGGTCAGACTGTTCTTGTAGTTGGCCACCAGGTTTGCACACATCTCAGGAGGGATTTTGTCCCACTCCTCTTTGCAGATCTTCTCCAAGTCATTAAGGTTTCGAGGCTGACGTTTGGCAACTCGAACCTTCAGCTCCCTCCACAGATTTTCTATGGGATTAAGGTCTGGAGACTGGCTAGGCCACTCCAGGACCTTAATGTGCTTCTTCTTGAGCCACTCCTTTGTTGCCTTGGCCGTGTGTTTTGGGTCATTGTCATGCTGGAATACCCATCCATGACCCATTTTCAATGCCCTGGCTGAGGGAAGGAGGTTCTCACCCAAGATTTGACGGTACATGGCCCCGTCCATCGTCCCTTTGATGCGGTGAAGTTGTCCTGTCCCCTTAGCAGAAAAACACCCCCAAAGCATAATGTTTCCACCTCCATGTTTGACGGTGGGGATGGTGTTCTTGGGGTCATAGCCAGCATTCCTCCTCCTCCAAACACGGCGAGTTGAGTTGATGCCAAAGAGATCGATTTTGGTCTCATCTGACCACAACACTTTCACCCAGTTCTCCTCTGAATCATTCAGATGTTCATTGGCAAACTTCAGATGGCCCTGTACATGTGCTTTCTTGAGCAGGGGGACCTTGCGGGCGCTGCAGGATTTCAGTCCTTCACGGCGTAGTGTGTTACCAATTGTTTTCTTGGTGACTATGGTCCCAGCTGCCTTGAGATCATTGACAAGATCATCCAGTGTAGTTCTGGGCTGATTCCTCACCATTTTCATGATCATTGCAACTCCACGAGGTGAGATCTTGCATGGAGCCCCAGGCCGAGGGAGACTGACAGTTCTTTTGTGTTTCTTCCATTTGTGAATAATCGCACCAACTGTTGTCACCTTCTCACCAAGCTGCTTGGCGATGGTCTTGTAGCCCATTCCAGCCTTATGTAGGTCTACAATCTTGTCCCTGACATCCTTGGAGAGCTCTTTGGTCTTGGTCATGGTGGAGAGTTTGGAATCAGATTGATTGATTGCTTCTGTGGACAGGTGTCTTTTATACAGGTAACAAACTGAGATTAGGAGCACTCCCTTTAAGAGTGTGCTCCTAATCTCAGCTCGTTACCTGTATAAAAGACACCTGGGAGCCAGAAATATTTCTGATTGAGAGGGGGTGAAATACTTATTTCCCTCATTAAAATGCAAATCAATTTATAACATTTTTGACATGCGTTTTTCTGGATTTTGTTGTTGTTATTCTGTCTCTCACTGTTCAAATAAACCTACCATTAAAATTATAGACTGATCATTTCTTTGTCAGTGGGCAAACGTACAAAATCAGCAGGGGATCAAATACTTTTTTCCCTCACTGTATGGAATAGGGTGCCATTTGGGACGAGGCCTAACTCTTACCAAGCACTATAGCATGAGGTTAGATTTATGACGTGTTGAATTTATATGTTAAATATACAGGATACGAACATTCCATTCCAGCTAAAAATGGATATATAGCGTTTATCAACAAAAACAATTGTAATACACATCTAAAATCTATGAATAAAAAATCTGATATAAGTAATATTGTACAGACATAAAGTTATCCATTTTCTCCCTCACTGTAGCTAAGCAATCTATTACCGAGCAGTCTACTGTGTTGCGCTTACTACCATTGTTTGAATATCTGTCCTCATGTTAACCCAATACACAATTTTCTTGACTCAATGTTGCTCTCAGTTGTAAGGAAATGAGTCCTTAATTTTGACTCTCTCCTGTTCCATGCAGGTAAAAATCCAGCCTGTCGCCAAGTACGACTGGGAGCACAAGTATTACTACGGCAACCTCATTGCAGTCTCTAACGCATACCTGGCATATGCCATCCGAGGTGAGTGTGGAGAAGGAATTTTTAAATGGGGAGGACAGGAATAGTAAAAGCTGGATTGGAATGGTCTCAAACACATCAAACACCTGCTTTCCATGTTTGATACCATTTCCTTCATTATTGTGAGCCGTCCTCCGCTCACCAGCCTCTGGTGTGGAACCATGCATTACCATCCCTTGTTGCATGGTGTGATCAGATCATTACGGCAAAAAAAAAAAAATATATATATATATATATATATATATATATATATATATATATATATATATATATATATATATATATATATATATATATATATATATACTAAAATGAGAGGGAAATGTTTGCATCAAATACCCTTGCATCAAATATCCTCCTGTATTGATTATATACAGCATACATGATGATTGATTATCACTGCAATCAACAGCTGCAGTGTTGCTCATTGGGTTATCCCATATCATGGAATTGGCTATGTGAAAGTTTATAAAGACAAGCTCCTGGATGGGCTTGCGCCTAGTTAAAACCTTAACTTATTGTGCAATATATTCCAAAATTCAAACAAAATACACCAGTGACATCATTTAGGCGATTTAAGGTTGTGAGCACAGTGTTTCTGATCCGATTGAAAATAATCTTCTAATGTATTTGTGTGGGTACAATGCCATCTTTAGAATACAGCGTTTTCTGCTTGGTTTCCAGAGCATTGAAAAATAAATGAAATAGGCTACTACCGAGGTCTGATGATACTTCTGACATTATAGTAAAAGGCATGTTGTGTTGGGTGATGTGCTAAAGTCTGTAGGCTATTTTGAAAACTGCCGGTGTGTTGTGTTTATGAGGACTCCCCTCGTGCGTGTGTTGCATGAGCATTAAGCCAACGGGCTGCTGTTTCCTCCTTGGCAAAGATCTCAGAAAAGGTCAAAGTGCGAACCCAATGACCCAAATGTATCACATAAAAGGTATATACCATATCTCACAATCAATTGGGCTTCCCAGATTTTGTATGTTTGCTGTGACAAAGTGTATTATTTTCGTAGATTTGCGTTATTCCACTGCAGTGAGAGTGGGGGGCTGCAGAACATGGTGATGCAGCTCTAGCGCTAGCTCGCGCTCCCTGTGTGAGAGAGGTGCACACTTTGACAGACAGTCCAACAATTAGTCAAAATTTAAGCTAGAAACGCCATCCTGCACATTAAAACGTGCAGAATGGTCTGGAATAGGTTGCTTGTATACAGCTTTTTGATAACATTTATACTTTTTGAACTATAACTGTTTTAAAGATGCGTAAAAGCTCCTTACGCTTCAATGGGAAGTATTTGGATTCGCTACTGCACTTGAATCATTAAAGCTACAAACAACAACCCAATTGCTTCAACACAGCTTTTTGCTATCAATTTTGCTACCAACGATAAAGCTTGTTATATCCCCATTTAATTTCAATGGTGGAATGCAGGCTTCAACATTCTAAACTGAAATCACTGCCACAACTTTCAGAATGTTCAAACTAAAACATTTTGAGAGCTTAAAAATGCATATAGCTTATGACGATATAGTGCGCTCTAGCCTACTATAATCACTCCACACCTACAAACCACCCCAAAATAGGTCACTATAACTAACACACAGCCTATGAAAACCCTATTACTACCATTACTACTCTCAAATGGATAGCAAAATCACAGGAATGGTTTCAGATCAAACTCAGCATTCAGACCAAAGGGAGCGAGGGTCTTTAAACTAAAGATCTATTTTAACAATAGGGGCGATTCCACTCCAGCGGGAGCGGAAAATATTTTTGGTATCTGAATGTTCTGGCAATTCTCACATAGGAACTTCACATTTGTATCACAACCCATTTTTTTTTAGAAAATCATGATGAAACTGGCCATTTTAGGCCCTTTTTAGACCTATACGTGCCGCCTCTGATCTGTGAACCGTACATGATACAGACAACATCTTGGTGTCATTATACTCATTATAGTATGCTCTAACATATGGAGTATGTCTAGATTATGAAATACAATTTTTCACATTCCATTCAACTTATTTATGAATTTCTCAGAACTACCCTTTTTGATTTTGTTCATTTTGACATTGTTTGGAACAATATACTCTACAAGTACATAAGATTTTCAGTGGGCTCTCTGCTAATTCTGAAGGTATGATACACTTTTGGTGGTGCTCATAAAATGTATGGGAAAATGGATTCAAAGGGAACTCCCTCTGCCGGTGTTTTGCTGAATGTGCAATCCTAAATGAGGGCTGTGATTGGTTAATGACATATAAGGTCAACTTCTACAGTGGGGAAAAAAAGTATTGTCAGCCACCAATTGTGCAAGTTCTCCCACTTAAAAAGATGAGAGAGGCCTGTAATTTTCATCATAGGTACACGTCAACTATGACAGACAAATTGAGATTTTTTTTCTCCAGAAAATCACATTCATTTTTAATGAATTTATTTGCTAATTATGGTGGAAAATAAGCTGCACCAGGCTGGGAAGACTGAATCTGCAATAGGTAAGCAGCTTGGTTTGAAGAAATCAACTGTGGGAGCAATTATTAGGAAATGGAAGACATACAAGACCACTGATAATCTCCCTCGATCTGGGGCTCCACGCAAGATCTCACCCCGTGGGGTCAAAATGATCACAAGAACGGTGAGCAAAAATCCCAGAACCACATGGGGGGACCTAGTGAATGACCTGCAGAGAGCTGAGACCAAAGTAACAAAGCCTACCATCAGTAACACACTACGCCGCCAGGGACTCAAATCCTGCAGTGCCAGACGTGTCCCCCTGCTTAAGCCAGTACATGTCCAGGCCCGTCTGAAGTTTGCTAGAGTGCATTTGGATGATCCAGAAGAGGATTGGGAGAATGTCATATGGTCAGATGAAACCAAAATAGAACTTTTTGGTAAAAACTCAACTCGTCGTGTTTGGAGGACAAAGAATGCTGAGTTGCATCCAAAGAACACCATACCTACTGTGAAGCATGGGGGTAGAAACATCATGCTTTGGGGCTGTTTTTCTGCAAAGGGACCAGGACGACTGATCCGTGTAAAGGAAAGAATGAATGGGGCCATGTATCGTGAGATTTTGAGTGAAAACCTCCTTCCATCAGCAAGGGCATTGAAGATGAAACGTGGCTGGGTCTTTCAGCATGACAATGATCCCAAACACACCGCCCGGGCAACGAAGGAGTGGCTTCGTAAGAAGCATTTCAAGGTTCTGGAGTGGCCTAGCCAGTCTCCAGATCTCAACCCCATAGAAAATCTTTGGAGGGAGTTGAAAGTCCGTGTTGCCCAGCGACAGCCCCAAAACATCACTGCTCTAGAGGAGATCTGCATGGAGGAATGGGCCAAAATACCAGCAACAGTGTGTGAAAACCTTGTGAAGACTTACAGAAAACGTTTGACCTGTGTCATTGCCAACAAAGGGTATATAACAAAGAGTTGAGAAACTTTTGTTATTGACCAAATACTTATTTTCCACCATAATTTGTAAATAAATTCATTAAAAATCCTACAATGTGATTTTCTGGATTTTTTTTCTCATTTTGTCTGTCATAGTTGACGTGTACCTATGATGAAAGAAGCACAATTGGTGGCTGACTAAATACTTGTTTTCCCCACTATGTATAAAATGAGTATTTTAATTAAAGCCACAATATGTAACTTTTTGGGCGACCCGACCAACTTCACATAGAAATGTGAGTTATAGACCTGTCATTCTCATTGAAAGCAGGTCTAAGAAGCGGTAGATCTGTTCAATATGCGCTATTTTTATGCTTCCCGGTCTTAAGTTTAGTTTTTGCGTCTTACTTTCAGTTTTGTACACCAGCTTCAAACAGCTGAAAATACAATATTTTTTGGTTATGGAAAATGTATTAGATGGTACAATGATTCTCTACACTATGCTTGCTTGTTTTGTAACATAAACTGAAATTAGGCTAACTATTGAACATTTTATCAACCGGGAAATGGTGGAGCGATCTCTGCAAATTGCACCTTACATTTTTGGAGATAAAAAAATAAAAAGCTTGGTCTAAATTTAATTTGTTTTTGAAATTTTACCTACAAGGATATACCATGACATTTGAAATTCTTAATTTAATAAAACAAACTTTTGAATGTAGTTTTTATAACAGTGCATATTTAGCCCTCCAGGCTGCCCTGACGTCGGTATGCTATTTTCCCCACTTCAAATAGCAATTACAGATGCTCACTTAAGTTTTTTCTTTCCCACAATACCTGACATAGATCAATGCAGAACACTCATCAGATAACCTTTTTGTAACAGTAAAATGTGCCAGTGCTTGTGAATGATTCCCTTTATTTGTTTCTGAGCATTTTGAGTAGCGCGTGGTGAGAATGGAATAATTATAATTTTTGTGAGACTGTCCTTTAAAGAGATCACGTCTCGATCTGTTTTTGATTTTTGTACCCCCTTTCATTGGATTTTGTTTGCATTTCATGTTCTGGAAATACACATAGCTTACTCTGATCTTCAGATTTGTATGCCTTGGAAACCACAAACATATTTTTTTGCTTTCGGTCAGCCCAAAGAATTGCACTTTAGAAACCTGCTCTTGGCATTTGCAGTGAGAAATGCATGGTGTTGCGAAGGTTAAAGGAAGGTCTATTTGTTAGTGCATTAGAAACGTATTTGCTTTTGGCTGTGTGACTGCCAAGACCCCTGTGTTGTATTCCTTTGGCTGGAATCTTGATCTCTCTTTGCCTGTCATCAAAGCACTTATGTTTATAGTGATAACTGAATTACAAACGACTGGAGGTTGAGGAATCTGTGGTAGAACGTACACTGAACCAATATTATGTGCTTTTCCCAACTACTGCACTATGCCTTGGACCCTTGGTTTTTAACTCTGCTTTAGCTTTCCATGTAAAACCAAATTATCTGGATTGATTCTGAATGTGACAGAAGTTTGCTCACAGACTCATGTTTTGTACTTGTGTGCAGGAGCAAACAACCAGGCCATGATCCGTGTGTTGAGCTTGGGCTCGGCAGAGCGCACACTGCTGAAGGGCTTCACTGGTGCAGTCACAGACCTGGCCTTCGCCCATCTGGACTCCACGCTGCTGGGATGTGTCGACGAGGCCGGCAACCTGGTCATCTGGCAGCTCACCTGCCACAGTAGCAAGATCCTGTATCCTCTTCATTCTACTTTCATTTTACTCAAGAATAACACTTCACTTGGTCCTTTCCTTTCCACTTCCCTTGGTCCTTTCATGTAACAATATACATTTACCTGGTGTTGACCATTAAAAGCACATTGTTTATGATAGTGTGATGTTTGTACAGCTGCGGTGTTATGCACCTTAACCCACATGCTTCTCAGGGATCAAGTTATTGTCCACATCCGGAGGCCTGAGGACACTCCTCTGAACTCCAATAGGAGGTTGATCTGGTGTCCCTTCATCCTAGAGGACAATGAAGAGAACCCTGAGGATGCCAGCCAGACCCTGGCCCTGCTGCATGAAGACAGAGTATGTACAGTGCCTTCAGAAAGTATACACACCCATTGACTTTTTCCACATTTTGTTGTTACAGCCTGAATTTAAAAAGGATTAAATTGAGATGTTGTGTCACTGGCCTACACACAATACCCCATAATGTCAAAGTGGAATAATGCTTTTAGAATTTTTTACAAATTAATTAAAAATTAAAAGCTGAAATGTCTTGAGTCAATAATTATTCAGCCCCTTTGTTATAAATAATAATAATATGCCATTTAGCAGACGCTTTTATCCAAAGCGACTTACAGTCATGCGTGCATACATTTTTAAATATTTTTATTTTTTATATATATATAAAAAAAATTGTGTGTATGGGTGGTCCCGGGGATCGAACCCACTACCTTGGCGTTACAAGCGCCGTGCTCTACCAGCTGAGCTACAGAGGACCACGGCATGGCAAGCCTAAATAAGTTCAGCAGTAAAAAGGTGCTTAACAAGTCACATAATTAGTTGCATGGACTCACATTCTGTGTGTCATAATAGTGTTTAACATGATTTTTGAATGACTACCTCATCTCTGTACCACACACATACAATTATCTGTAAGGTCCCTCAGTCGAGTAGTGAATTTCAAGCACAGATTCAACCACAAAGACCATGGAGGTGTTCCAATGCCTCGCAAAGAAGGGTACCTATTGGTAGATGGGTAAAAATAAAGCAGACATTGAATATCCATTTGAGCATGATGAAGTTATTAATTACACTTTGGATGGTGTATCAATACACCATCACTACAAAGATACAGGTGTCCTTCCTAACTCCGTTACCGGAGAGGAAGGAAACCGCTCAGGGATTTCACCATGTGGCCAATGGTGACTTTAAAACAGTTAAAGACTTTAATGGCTTTGATAGGAGAAAACTGAGGATGGATCAACAACATTGTGGTTACTCCACAATACTAACCTAATTGACAGAGTGAAAAGAAGGAAGCCTGTACAGAATAAAATTTTTCCAAAACACGCGTCCTGTTTGCAACAAGGTTCTAAAGTTATACTGCAAAAAATGTGGCAAAGCAATTAACACTTTGTGTTCAGGACAAAAAGTTATGTTTGGGGCAAATCCAATGCAACACATTACTTAGTACCACACTCCATATTTTCAAGCATATAGTGGTGTCTGCATCATGTTATGGGTATGCTTGTAATCGTTAAGGATTGGGGAGTTTTTCAGGATAAAAAAAACGGAATAGAGCTATGCACAGGCAAAATCCTAGAGGAAAACCTGGTTCAGTCTGTTTTCCACCAAACACTGAGAGATGAAGTCACCTTTCAGCAGGAGAAGAACCTAAAACACAAGGCCAAATCTACCATGGAGTTGCTTACCAAGAAGACAGTGAATGTTCCTGATTGGCCAAGTTAGTTTAGACTTAAATCTGCTTGAAAATCTATAGCAAGACCTGAAAATGGTTGTCTAGCAATGATCAACAACCAAGTTAATTTGGAGGTTGAAGAAATTTGATAATAATGATGGACAAATGTGGCACAATGCAGGTGTGCAAAGCTTTTTGACTTACCCAGAAAGACTCACAGCTGTAATCGTTGCCAAAGGTGATTCTAACATGTTTTGACTCAGGGGGTTTAATACTTATCTAATCAAGCTATATTAGTGTTTTATTTTTTTTCCATTTTGACATTATAGTATTTTGTGTAGATCATTGACAAAAAATGACAATTAAAACCTTTTTAATCCCACCTTGTAACACAACAAAATGTGGAAAAAGTAAAGGGGTGTGAATACTTTCTGAAGGCACTGTATGCCCTGCTTACACACAACCAGACCATTTACAAATGCCTCCTCCTCCTCCCTTTGTATATTCTTTACTCCCTCCCTTCCGCTGATTGTCCTGTCTTTTCTCCCTAGGCTGAAGTGTGGGATCTGGAGATCCTCCGCAGCAACAATAACACCTGGCCAGTAGATGCCACTGACCTGAAGGACGGAGTTATAACTATAAAAGGACATACAGATGTAGGGCATATAAATAATTTAGTGATCACATGGTCTGTTTCCAGTATGGAAAGCACTTATTTACAGGCTGGTTTTTAGTGTGGAAATTGAGATTGCAGTCTCTCTGTTTTTCTCCAGCGCATCAGTGAAGGTGCCCTGTCTCCGGATGGCACAGTCTTGGCCACAGCCAGTCATGATGGATATGTAAAGTTCTGGCAAATCTACATTGAAGGACCGGACCAGCCAAGGTAGACCTTTACTCAGTATTACTAAATGTTATACTATTCAATTATATTCTTGAAAATTCCAGCTGTTTCTTGCCATTCCTTTCCATCTGTATCTCTATGGTTACTTTTACTTTCCTTTGTGAAGTCCTCTCCCCGGCTTCTTCCACAGATGTCTACACGAGTGGCAGCCCCACAACGGGAACCCCCTTTCCTGCCTGCTGTTCTGTGACAACCACAAGAAACAGGACCCAGAGTAAGTCACTACTGTTCCCTACTGCTGCTGTACTCTTTATCTTAACGGGTGTTGGGAGGATTTAGGGAATGCGACATTTGGGGGGTTGTGTTTATCAGTGATTAAAATGTAATCTGATAAAAAAAATACATGTTCATTTTGAGTTAAACAGGGTTAGGTAGACACATGGAGAGGTGCCATCTTTACAGCATTACCCAATGCAATCAGTGTCATTTTCTCTTAAGCACCCATGAGAGATTATATATATATTTTTGCCTTTCTAGTGTTCCATTCTGGCGCTTTCTTATTACTGGAGCTGATCAGAACCAGGAATTGAAGATGTGGTGCACAGTGTCATGGACCTGCCTGCAGACCATCAGGTCTGACTGTTTTACCTGTGTTTTTCACTGCGCTTTCATGCTTGGAAGTTGTCTGATTCATCCCTCTGTTACTGGACCCGTTTTAACAAGAGCCTATGTACATGTCCTCTAGGTTCTCTCCAGACCCGTTCAACTCATCAGTCCTGCCCTGTCTGAAGGCCAGTCTGGACCTGTCTGCAGAATGCCTCATCCTCAGCGATGTACAGAGAAAGGTCAGAATAACATTGATGTCCTGCTGTATCACTGTGATTTATCTACCAACTGTCATCCTGTTGGATATTAGTATAATGAGTAATTGACTCTGGCTTGTGTTGTCCCTCTAGGTGTTGTATGTGATGGAGTTGTTGCAGGACCAGGAGAAGGGCCATGCCAGCTTCACAGCCGTGTCAGAGTTCCTGCTCACACACCCTGTGCTTAGCTTCGGTGTTCAGGATGTCAGCCACAGCCACCTGTGCCACTCGGAGGTCCTTCCGCCAGACGAGGAGAGCGAGAGTATGACTGCAGGTGGGGTTCACCTTCTTGTATACCCATTACCACTACTACCTGATCTAACGATTGCTGGCCTAACACTGAATTATCATGGGTCAAATGTTTTGTTATGTTTGATTAAGACTTGTTCTTCCCTTTATCTCTAGATGGCAACCAGGGCCCAATGGAATCCAAAGCTGGGATCCAAATCAAGCTATACTGTGTCCACACAAAGTGAGTGTCCTCATTCAGGGTCATTATTACCATATTTACTAAGAGGTCTGCATTGAAATTATGTAGTATACAATTTCATACACCCATATGTGTGTTGCTGTATTCTTCTGCCCACAGGTCCCTTCAAGATGTGCAGATCTGGTTCCAGCCAAACCTTGGCTCTGGCTCCTCCTTGTTCCTGCCTCACTCTGACTCAAACGATGGCTTTGGTGAGTTACGAAAACTGTTAGTCTTCATAAACCAAAACTATCCTCTGCACAGTTTGAGAGATTTTAGAAACGTTATCCCAGATTTTCATGGATAAAAATCCATCTTTGTACTTTTCTAGGTTTTTCAGATCACTTGACAGACATGAGTGTGGAAGGTTTGAGCTCTGATAAGGATTCTGGATGCGGCTCCAAAAATGATCTCCACAAGATTCCCGCTCTTGCTGACTTCCTGTCCCCCTCCGGCACTGTTGCTATGCCCAAGCTTATGACCCCTGACGCCTTCATGACCCCCAGTGCTTCGGTATGTCCTGTTCCAAATTCTCACTATTCTATCAAAATGATAGCGAATATCCAAGGAAGGAAGATTACTGCTGGATCTTGATCCTGCTTTTCATTTTGTTTCTGCCCTTCTCCCCCAGGTCCCAGCCTCCCCAGGCAGCAGTGCCAGCAGCCTGACCATAGTGACAGCCATGAGCAGCAACTCTGACAGTTGCGCCAGGTAGGTCAACTCGAAAGAGTGCATAAGAGGGGAGGAATTCATAATTGACTAGAAAGAGCAGGCAAAACCATTGTGTTTTGACGTCCCTGACTCCAGTGATGTTAATGTCTGCAGGGGAGGAGAGGAGCTGAACCAGAGCCCTAAGATGTCTGTGGAGAGCAGCAGTAGTAGCAGCCTGACTCTCAATGTGAGCACCAGCAGCTCCATCCTCATCTCAGGCCTAGGGGACAACATGCCGGTAAGCCACACACTCGCACACATGCACGTGCAAACACACATACACACTTACAGCATGATGCAGTCATTACACACTGTTCGAATGCAGGATGTGTGCCACACAATTGGAGAGCCTGAGGGGCCAAAGTAACATGTGTTTATGTCAACTTACAAGACCTTTCGTCCCTCTCCATCGTATGTGACATCATCCTTACTCCATGTGCCATTTTGGTTTTCCCTGCTGTCTCATAAAGATGTACCCTCTTCCACAAGAGACCACTCCTCATACGCTCATGTTCCCCCTCACCTACCCCCTCCGCCCTCTACAGGGGCTTCCCTCTCCAAACCCGCCCCTCTCGCTGGACCCTCAGGTCATTGAGCCTATGCTGATCCAGCAGGCTTCTCCTACCCGGGCCCGCTCTCCAGACGTCATCTCATCTGCCTCCACGGCCATGTCCCAGGACATTCCTGAGATCGCCTCTGAGACGCTGCAGCGAGGCCTGGGGGGGGTGTCTGGAGCTGAATCTCGAGAACCTCTCCCAGCCCTCCACACAGACAGCATGGCTTCTGCAGCCTCAGCTCTTCACCTTCTCTCTCCACGAAACCGGAACTCTGACCACGGCCACCTGCCCCTGGAGCTGGGTGCTGTAGCAGGAGCAGTGGAGGCGGAACAGAGGCTCAGTAACACCCCCTCACTACTGGAGAACGCCCTGTCACAGGAGAATGCTGCTGCTGCAGCTGCCTCCTGCTTAGACAACAGCGTGAGCCACCCCTGGCCTGCAGCTCCTGACATCACACGGGAAACACGCAACGGCCTGGGAGACTGGTAAGGTCACACACACTGACATAAAGCACAATGCCTCTACCTATACAAGAAATGCCAGAGCATACACGGGTCTCTTTGTTTCTCTTAGCTCGAGGGAGGAAATGAAGGACAGACACATGTCCTCTCCATACCACAGACGCACCTACCACTTAACCCAGAATGACAGTCAGGACGCCAGTGCAGAACAGAGGTAAGATACTCACACATCTCTGGAACTCCCCTTCAGTTCTTAATTACCCTGGAAGGCTGTAGTATTTGCTGTGTTTTTTGGAAGTCAATGCTTGATTGATTGAAGTTTGCATGTAAAGGTAATCTTGTAATTTCAGAAAATGTCCGTAATATATCTGGCTCTAATAGTGGAATGATAGTGTTTCACAGTATTACTTACCCGCCAGAGTTGTGATTGGCTGTGATATTCGCCTATTGATAGTCAAATTGTACACTGTTCGCTCAATTTCAGTTTATGTGAGAAAACAAGCACTGAATAGCTTAGGGATTCATTGTCTGAAATCGCTGTTAGTAGGGCTGTCCCCGACCCAAAAAAATCTTGGTCTGCCAAGAGTTGTCTGTTCTTTTGACCAATCGATTGGTCTACATTTTCTAAGGTGTATTTTTCCATATAGACACATCCTACAGTGCATTCGGAAAGTATTCAGACCCCTTGACTCTTTCCACATTTTTACGCTACAGCCTTATTCTAGAATGGATTTTCTTTCTCTCATCAATCTACACACAATACCCCATAATGACAAAGCAAAAACAGGTTTTTAGACATTTTAACAAATGTATGTTAAAAAAACACTTAATTATTACATTTACATAAGTATTCAGACCTTACAGCCTCGAGTCTTCTTGGGTATGATGCTACAAGCTTGGCACACCTGTATTTTGGGAGTTTTTCCTATTCTTCTCTGCAGATCCTCTCAAGCTCTGTCAGGTTGGTTTGGGAGCGTCGCTGCACAGCTATTTTCAGGTCTCTCCAGAGATGTTCTATCGGGTTCAAATCCAGACTCTGGCTGGGCCATTCAAGGACATTCAGAGACTTGTCCTGAAGCCACTCCTGCGTTGTCTTGGCTGTGTGATTAGAGTCATTGTCCTGTTGGAAGGTGAACCTTCGCCCCAGTCTGAGGTCCTGAGTGCTCTGAAGCAGGGTTTCAAGGATGTCTCTGTACTTTACTCCGTTCATCTTTCCCTCGATGCTGGCTAGTCTCCCAGTCCCTGCCCCTGAAAAACATCCCCACAGCATGATGCTACCACCACCATGCTTCACCGTAGGGATGGTTCCAGGTTTCCTCCAGACGTGACACTTGGCATTCAGGCCAATGAGTTCAATCTTGGTTTCATCAGACCAGAGAATCTAGTTTCTCATGCTCTGAGAGTCCTTGAAGATCTTTTGGCAAACTCCAAGCGGGCTGTCGTGCCTTTTACTGAGGAGTGGCTTCCGTTTGGCCACTCAACCATAAAGGCTGCAGAGATGGTTGTCCTTCTGGAAGGTTCTCCCATCTCCACAGAGGAACTCTAGAGCTCTGTCAGAGTGACCATCGGGTTCTTGGTCACCTCCCTGACCAAGGCCCTTCTCCCCCTATTGCTAAGTTTGGCTGGGCGGCCAGCTCTAGGAAGAGTCTTGGTGGTTCCAAACTTCTTCCATTTAAGAATGATGGAGGCCACTGTGTTCTTGGGGACCTTCAATGCTGCAGACATTTTTTGGGACCCTTCCCCACATCTGTGCCTAGACACAATCCTGTCTCGGCGCTCTACGGACAATTTCTTCGACCAATCAATTGAATTTACCACAGGTGGACTCCAATCAAGTTGTAGAAACATCTCAAGGATGGTCAATGGTAACAGGATGTACCTGAGCTCAATTTCGAGTCTTATAGCAAAGGGTCAGAATACTTATGTAAATAAGGTATTTCTGTTTTTTATTGTTAATACATTTGCAAAAATGTCCATAAAACTGTGTTCACTTTGTCATTATGGTGTATTGTGTGTAGATTGAGGATTTTTATTTATTTAATCAATTTAAGAATACGGCTGTAACGTTACAAAATGTGGAAAGGGGGAAGGAGTTTGAATACTTTCCGAATGCACTGTATGTGTTTTAATCAAATCTACTATATGCTGAACTTTTCTGATGCTTTAGGCGAACTGTTTGATGAAATAATTAAGACACACAAATGACTAGAGGGAGTCCGACCGCCATTGATTTGATTGTGCTGGGCCTGGCTCAGACTTGCTGTGTTAAAAAAGTGAGTGACTCTGTGACTAGCACCCGTTGTCTCTCTCTCCTCCCCGCTGACTTGCCTTTAACTAGGCAAGTCAGTTAAGAACTAATTCTTATTTACAATGACGGCCTACACCGGCCAAACCCGGACGACGCTGGGCCAATTGTGCGCCGCCCTATGGGACTCCCAATCACGGCCGGTTGTGATACAGCCTGGAATCGAACCAGGGGGTCTGTAGTGATGCCTCAAGCACTGAGATGCAGTACCTTAGACCGCTGCGGGAGCCCAACAGCTCGATGGTGACAATACTAAGCCTGTTAATGATAATGACATTACTTATTATTATAATGATGATCATAATTGTAATAATAACAATAACGAGATGAAGAAAAAGGAGGGTTGTTATCAACAGTGTGTATCTTGCTGTCAGTGTTGCTGAAGCTGCAACAATTGCAGCCATTTCTGACTGAAAAGTTATGTTACCGAAATCCGTCATTTGTTTAGGAAAAACATTCCCTATTCCCTCAACCCTTGCTGTCTTTACGTTGACACATGTATGCATCGCATGCACAGGGCCTGATCTATAGCATATCATAGTCACATCAATAAATTGGTTATAACAAACTCGTAACACCGTAACACATCTGACAGCAAAATGGATGCAGAGGACGTGACAAATAAACTCGACACATGGGAATGTTTACTGGTTGCGCCGGAGGTAAAGAAATTAGGCTAGTTGTGGAAAATACTGGAGATCAAGAAAAATAAGGTAAGGAGCAAGCGCTGTGTGCATATTATGTATGCCAAACAGGTGTTAGATTACAATATATGTTTTCTGACCGTTTGTAACAATATAAACAACTCAATAAATTATAAGTGTACCAGAGAATCTGTTGTAATGTTTTTTTGTAAAGCCTTTATTACAGCAAAGACTAAAAACAGTCGCATTCATTCGTGAATGCAATTTCCGAAATGGAACAATTTAAGCCTATTTATTGTTTACGCAAATTATTCAGTGGTCGCTTTATTTATTTTAAAATAAAAATGCTTGATTGCATTTCAAATCATGAATGACTCCTATGCTGTGTGATGACATGAACAAATAAATTATATAAGTATTGAAATATAGGCCTAAGTTACTGTTTTAAGACCAAACAAGATGCGCTCTTAAGCCTACAGCTCGATGGTGGCTATACTACTAAGCCTGTTAATGATAATGACATTACTTATTATTATAATGATGATCATAATTGTAATAATAAGGAGATCAAAGAAAAAGGAGGGTTGTTATTATTATAAATATACTTTTTGGGACAATTTGGAACCGTGTAAACAACACAAAATAAATAATACCAGAGAGCCTGGTCTAACGCAAAAAAAGTGGAAAGCCTTTATTACAGCATAGCAAAGATTTTAAAAAGCTGAATTTGTGGAATTGTTTATCTGACATGTTGTGGTTGCCTGAGGCTTGGTGCTCACGGAATCAGTAGGCTATTAAACAAACACTCAAAAAGGCAACAGAAGCAGCAAGTTCTCCCACTTAAAAAGATGAGAGGCCTGTAATTTTCATCATAGGTACACGTCAACTATGACAGACAAAATGAGAAAAGTAGGATTTTTAATGAATTTATTTGCAAATTATGGTGGAAAATAAGTATTTGGTCAATAACAAAAGTTTCTTAATAGTTTGTTATATACCCTTTGTTGGCAATGACACAGGTCAAACGTTTTCTGTAAGTTTTCACACACTGTTGCTGGTATTTTGGCCTATTCCTCCATGCAGATCTCCTCTAGAGCAGTGACGTTTTGGGGCTGTCGCTGGGCAACACGGACTTTCAACTCCCTCCAAAGATTTTCTATGGGGTTGAGATCTGGAGACTGGCTAGGCCACTCCAGAACCTTGAAATGCTTCTTACGAAGCCACTCCTTCGTTGCCCGGGCGGTGTGTTTGGGATCATTGTCATGCTGAAAGACCCAGCCACGTTTCATCTTCAATGCCCTTGCTGATGGAAGGAGGTTTTCACTCAAAATCTCACGATACATGGCCCCATTCATTCTTTCCTTTACACGGATCAGTCGTCCTGGTCCCTTTGCAGAAAAACAGCCCCAAAGCATGATGTTTCCACCCCCATGCTTCACAGTAGGTATGGTGTTCTTTGGATGCAACTCAGCATTCTTTGTCCTCCAAACACGACGAGTTGAGTTTTTACCAAAAAGTTATATTTTGGTTTCATCTGACCATATGACATTCTCCCAAACCTCTTCTGGATCATCCAAATGCACTCTAGCAAACTTCAGACGGGCCTGGACATGTACTGGCTTAAGCAGGGGGACACGTCTGGCACTGCAGGATTTGAGGCCCTGGCGGCGTAGTGTGTTACTGATGGTAGGCTTTGTTACTTTGGTCCCAGCTCTCTGCAGGTCATTCACTAGGTCCCCCCGTGTGGTTCTGGGATTTTTGCTCACCGTTCTTGTGATCATTTTGACCCCACGGGGTGAGATCTTGCGTGGAGCCCCAGATCGAGGGAGATTATCAGTGGTCTTGTATGTCTTCCATTTCCTAATAATTGCTCCCACAGTTGATTTCTTCAAACCAAGCTGCTTACCTATTGCAGATTCAGTCTTCCCAGCCTGGTGCAGGTCTACAATTTTGTTTCTGGTGTCCTTTGACAGCTCTTTGGTCTTGGCCATAGTGGAGTTTGGAGTGTGACTGTTTGAGGTTGTGGACAGGTGTCTTTTATACTGATAACAAGTTCAAACAGGTGCCATTAATACAGGTAACGAGTGGAGGACAGAGGAGCCTCTTAAAGAAGTTGTTACAGGTCTGTGAGAGCCAGAAATCTTGCTTGTTTGTAGGTCACCAAATACTTATTTTCCACCATAATTTGCAAATAAATTCATAAAAAATCCTACAATGTGATTTTCTGGATTTTTTTTTCTCAATTTGTCTGTCATAGTTGACGTGTACCTATGATGAAAATTACAGGCCTCTCATCTTTTTAAGTGGGAGAACTTGCACAATTGGTGGCTGACTAAATACTTTTTCCCCCCACTGTGTATATATATATGGATGATTTCTAAAGCCAGGCACATTTAACAGTTAGGCTATTGATTATAGGTCTAATTAAGTTGGGGTTTCCTCTCCTCACTTTTCTTAGACACTTAAGGCAAGGGCAGTTTTCTCATCTCCTAACACAGCTGCTGCCTCTGCCGCGTTGTTCTCAACACCAATATGCTGGTCAACTTTGCTATTATGTCCATAGCAACATGGTCTAGGAAAAGGCGCCAATTCAACAGCGCACTGATGTGTTTCAGAACCGTGGACAGCGAGCACTATCTAATGCGGGAGAAAGCACATTTGTTATAAAATATTATTTTTATTTGTGTTTATTTGCCATTGTTCTTACATAATATAACTATATACAATTTCAGTAGCAAATGTCATAGACTGATGGACTGTGCCATCCCCATGGCCTCAACAATGGATCATTCCACTCAGACAGGCACGAATCAGACAGGTGTCTTGTACACCATGATTTATACTTTTTTATTTATTTGCTACTGCTCAACTAAATCTTGGTCGACCAACAGCCTATCAACCAAACAATCGACTAGTCGACTAAATGGGGTCAGCCCTAGTTTGAAGCTGGTGGACCAAAACCGCTGTTTGAAGTTTTGATCCACCAGCTTCAAACAGCTGTAAAAACAATATTATTTCTTATTGGAAATATATTTCATAGTGATTTTGATGGTACAATGATTGACTACACTATTCATTGCTTGTTTTCTCACAAACTGAAATTGAGCGAACAGTGTTGAATTTTTGCAACCAGGAAATGTCCACTAGATAACACAGTCACTAAGTCAAAACAGCTTTCCCAGTTTGACAACAGATGCCACTCTGGCGTATTATTAATAGGCGAATATCACATCCAATCACAACACTGGCGGGTAAGTAATACTGTGAAACACCATCATTCCACTATTAGCGCCAGACATATTAAGGACATTTTCTGAAATTACAATGCAAAGATGTTCTGTAACACAGTGACCATGATGATGAGGTAGCCAGTCTAGCATCGTCTTCAGGGAACTGTGGGGTCAGGTCGTCTCAAAGACTGCCAGTGAAGGAGTGGAAGAGTTCTCCCAGAGGCTCCCCTAAACTCAAGAGGAAGAGTAAAAAAGACGACGGGTGGGTGATAACATTCTGTGGTAACTGTCATGATAAACATTTTCTGTTATTTTACTTCAGTGTCTAATGGCCTCTTTGCCTTCTCTCTTTTCAGGGATGCATCTCATGCCTCTCAGTCCAGGCAGCCTGAGCATCAACATCAGGTAAGTAATCATGGCTGTTTCTTTGAGTTGTGATTATGATGCTGGCACCAGGATGTATACATTTACATCCATTATACATGTATTTTCAGCAATACCATTTGTTTACATTTGAGTCATTTAGCAGACACTCTTATCTCTTATCTGATGTGACCTGTAGCAGATTAACCCAGACGTGCAGGAAGAGCTGCTGATTTTGCTGCGTAACCAGCAGAGGGAGCTAGCGGAGCTCCGTCAGAGTCAGCTGGAACTGCTGCAGAGAGTGACAGGCCACATGGACGCCGTGCAGAGCTCTGTCTTAGCCCATGTAGAGCACGTCATGGTCAGCCAGCAGGAGCACGAACGTATCCTTACAACTGGGATATGTTACAAATTACAATAACTCCTAGACCTCCCTTTCTTCTGGTACCATCAAAAATGATGTAGTTTGGTATATGAGAGGCTTGGGCGGTATACCGGGGAATTTTGATATACCCACGGCATGATTTTCAAATAAATGCCTGCAGTCAACTTGTGCACTAGGTTAATAGATCAAGCAGATTGTATTCTTCATTTTGCCTCATTCATATTTGTTTTATAATGAAGCCGTTCCCCAAAGCAGCTGCTTTGTTTACAAAGAGCACACGACAAGGAGCAAACGGAGGCTTTCGTGACGTGACAATCCACTGTTGTGCAGCTCAAGAGAGGTGATGAAGTTACACTTCAAATTCACTACTGCCAGCTAAATATTTTATAACTAAGTTTAGCTATCTAATACATTCTCTGCAGCTCAGGGCTCAAGCTATGCATTTGTTTAGCTAACTTGCTAGCTAAGTGGATAGCTTGCAAGATCAAGCTTCTTGGTTACACCAGACACAATCAAGCCCCTCCTAGATCAAGATCCTTGCTGTCTACTATTTGTTTTGTGTTTTGCAGCAAACCTTTTGAGATAGTTGTGCGACTTTGAGCTGGAGGGTCTGTTCTTGCAAATTGTTTATGTTCGCTCGCGCTTGTTAGCATTTATCTAGCATCCGCTATGGGAATTCGTTAGTACTTTGTTAGCATAATTGTTTACATACAGTGAGGGGAAAAAAGTATTTGATCCCCTGCTGATTTTGTACGTTTGCCCACTGACAAAGACATGATCAGTCTATAATGTTAATGGTAGGTTTATTTGAACAGTGAGAGACAGAATAACAACAACAAAATACAGCAAAACACATGTCAAAAATGTTATAAATTGATTTGCATTTTAATGAGGGAAATAAGTATTTGACCCCTCTGCAAAACATGACTTAGTACTTGGTGGAAAAACCCTTGTTGGCAATCACAGAGATCAGACGTTTCGTGTAGTTGGCCACCAGGTTTGCACACATCGCAGGAGGGATTTTGTTCCACTCCTCTTTGCAGATATTCTCCAAGTCAATAAGGTTTTGAGGATGACGTTTGGCAACTCAAACCTTCAGCTCCCTCCACTGATTAGGTTAGGCCACTCCAGGACCTTAATGTGCTTCTTCTTGAGCCACTCCTTTGTTGCCTTGGCCGTGTGTTTTGGGTCATTGTCAAGCTGGAATACCCATCCACGACCCATTTTCAATGCCCTGGCTGAGGGAAGGAGGGTCTCACCCAAGATTTGACGGTCCCTAGCCCCGTCCATCGTCCCTTTGATGCGGTGAAGTGGTCCTGTCCCCTTAGCAGAAAAACACCCCCAAAGCATAATGTTTCCACCTCCATGTTTGACGGTGGGGATGGTGTTCTTAGGGTCATAGGCAGCATTCCTCCTCCTCCAAACACGGCGAGTTGACTTGATGCCAAAGAGCTTGATTTTGGTCTCATCTGACCACATCACTTTCACCCAGTTCTCCTCTGAATCATTCAGATGTTCATTGGCAAACTTCAGACGGCCCTGTATATGTGCTTTCTTGAGCAGGGGGACCTTGCGGGCACTGCAGGATTTCAGTCCTTCACGGCGTAGTGTGTTACCAATTGTTTTCTTGGTGGCTATGGTCCCAGCTGCCTTGAGATCATTGACAAGATCCTCCTGTGTAGTTCTGGGCTGATTCCTCACCGTTCTCATGATCATTGCAACTCCACGAGGCGAGATCTTGCATGGAGCCCCAGGCCGAGGGAGATTGACAGTTATTTTGTGTTTCTTCCATTTGCGAATAATCGCACCAACTGTTGTCACCTTCTCACCAAGCTGCTTGGCGATGGTCTTGTAGCCCATTCCAGCCTTGTGTAGGTCTACAATCTTGTCCCTGACATCCTTGGAAAGCTCTTTGGTCTTGGCCATGGTGGAGAGTTTGGAATCTGATTGATTGATTGCTTCTGTGGACAGGTCTTTTATACAGGTAACAAACTGAGATTAGGAGCACTCCCTTTAAGAGTGTGCTCCTAATCTCAGCTCGTTACCTGTATAAAAGACACCTGGGAGCCAGAAATCTTTCTGATTGAGAGGGGGTCAAATACTTATTTCCCTCATTTAAATGCAAATCAATATATAACATTTTTGACATGCGTTTTTCTAGATTATTTTGTTGTTATTCTGTCTCTCACTGTTCAAATAAACCTACCATTAAAATTATAGGCTGATCATTTCTTTGTCAGTGGGCAAATGTACAAAATCAGCAGGGGATCAAATACTTTTTTCCCCTCACTGTATATATTGATATACTCAGCAAAAAAAGAAACTGCCCCTTTTCAGGACCCTGTCTTTCAAAGATAATTAGTAAAAATCCAAATAACTTCACAGATCTTCATTGTAAAGGGTTTAAACACTGTTTCCCATGCTTGTTCAATGAACCATAAACAATTCATGAACATGCAACTGTGGAACGGTCGTTAAGACACTAACAGCTTACAGACGGTAGGCAATTAAGGTCACAGTTATGAAAGCTTAGCACACTAAAGAGGCCTTTCTACTGACTCTGAAAAACACCAAAAGAAAGATTCCCAGGGTCCCTGCTCATCTGTGTGAACGTGCCTTAGGCATGCTGCAAGGAGGCATGAGGACTGCAGATGTGGCCAGGGCAATAAATTGCAATGTACTGTGAGACGCCTAAGACAGCGCTACAGGGAGACAGGACGGACAGCTGATCGTCCTCGCAGTGGCAGACCACGTGTAACAACATCTGCACATGATCGGTACATCCGAACATCACACCTGCGGGACAGGAACAGGATGGCAACAACAACTGCCCGAGTTACACCAGGAACGCACAATCCCTCCATCAGTGCTCAGACTGTCCTCAATAGGCTGAGAGAGGCTGAGACAGACATCACCGGCAACAACGTCGCCTATGGGCACAAACCCACCGTCGCTGGACCAGACAGGACTGGCAAAAAGTGCTCTTCACTGACGAGTCACGGTTTTGTCTCACCAGGGGCGATGGTCGGATTCGCATTTATCGTCGAAGGAATGAGCGCTACACCGAGGCCTGTACTCTGGAGCGGGATCGATTTGGAGGTGGAGGGTCCGTCATGGTCTGGGGCGGTGTGTCACAGCATCATCGGACTGAGCTTGTTGTCATTGCAGGCAATCTCAACGCTGTGCGTTACATGGAAGACATCCTCCTTCCTCGTGTGGTACCCTTCCTGCAGGCTCATCCTGACATGACCCTCCAGCATGACAATGCCACCAGCCACACTGCTCGTTCTGTGCGTGATTTCCTGCAAGACAGGAATGTCAGTGTTTTGCCATGGCCAGCGAAGAGCCCTGATCTCAATTCCATCTGGGACCTGTTGGATCGGAGGGTGAGGGCTAGGGCCATTCCCCCCAGAAATGTCTGGGAACTTGCAGGTGCCTTGGTGGAAGAGTGGGGTAACATCTCACAGCAAGAACTGGCAAATCTGGTACAGTCCATGAGGAGGAGATGCACTGCAGTACTTAATGCAGCTGGTGGCCACACCAGATACTGGCTGTTACTTTTGATTTTGACCCCCTCTTTGTTCAGGGACACATTATTCAATTTCTGTTAGTCACATGTCTGTGGAACTTGTTCAGTTTATGTCTGTTGATGAATCTTGTTATGTTCATACAAATATTTACACATGTTAAGTTTGCTGAAAATAAACGCAGTTGACAGTGAGAGGACGTTTCTTTTTTTGCTGAGTTTCTTTTTTGGGTTTGGAAGAAAATACCACTCCCTTGTGTGCGCTGCCGGTAATACCGTATGGTACAGGAACGGTAGGAAGGTATGAAAATCTGGATACCGTCCAACCGTGATCACTGCAATATATAGGGCAGTGTTATGAATGCAGATATTGTAGTTTAAATGGATTTCAATTCAAATGAACCAATAACCTTTTGTCTTCTAGAAAGGTGCTTAATTAAGACCATTGTTTTGTTGCATCAACCCACCACACAAGTTCCTCTGTTTGATCCTTGACCCAGCGTTGAATCTCAGAGAGGAGAATGGAGAGAATCCTAGCAGAGGGACACAACTGTAACCAGCAGCTCCAGGAGCATCTCTCCCAGCAGCTGGGTCAAACTCTCAGTAACACCCTCTGTAACCGGCTGGACAAGACTCTCCGAGAGGAGATGAAGAAGACTGTTCCTCCCAGTTAGTACACTTCCTTCATTTTTCCTATAGCATATTCTATGTTTTTTATCAAATAAAAGTGTTTAACTGTGCACAGTAGTGGTCAAAAGTTTTGAGAATGACACAAGTATTGGTCTTCACAAAGTTTGCTGCTTCGGTGTTTTTAGATATTTTTGTCAGATGTTACTATGGTATACTAAAGTATAATTTCAAGCATTCCATAAGTGTCAAAGGCTTTTAATGACAATTACATTAAGTTTATGCAAAGAGTCAATATTTGCAGTGTTGACTCTTCTTTTTCAAGACCTCTGCAATCCGCCCTGGCATGCTGTCAATTAACTTCTGGGCCACATCCTGACTGATGGCAGCCCATTCTTGCATAATCAATGCTTGGAGTTTGTCAGAATTTGTGGGTTTTTGTTTGTCCACCCGCCTCTTGAGGATTGACCACAAGTTCTCAATGGGATTAAGGTCTGGGGAGTTTCCTGGCCATGGACCCAAAATGTTGATGTTTTGTTCCCCGAGCCACTTAGTTATCACTTTTGCCGTATGGCAAGGTGCTCCATCATGCTGGAAAAGGCATTGTTCGTCACCAAACTGTTCTTGGAAGGTTGGGAGAAGTTGCTCTCGGAGGATGTGTTGGTACCATTCTTTATTCATGGCTGTGTTCTTAGGCAACATTTTGAGTGATCCCACTCCCTTGGCTGAGAAGCAACCCCACACATGAATGGTCTCAGGATGCTTTGCTGTTGGCATGACACAGGACTGATGGTAGCGCTCACCTTGTCTTCTCCGGACAAGCTTTTTTCCGGATGCCCCAAACAATCGGAAAGGGGATTCATCAGAGAAAATGACTTTACCCCAGTCCTCAGCATTCCAATCCCTGTACCTTTTGCAGAATATCAGTCTGTCCCTGATGTTTTTCCTGGAGAGAAGTGGCTTCCTCGCTGCCCTTCTTGACACCAGGCCATCCTCCAAAAGTCTTTGACCTCACTGTGCATGCAGATGCACTCACACCTGCCTGCTGCCATTCCTGAGCAAGCTCTGCACTGGTGGTGCTCCGATCCCGCAGCTGAATCAACTTTAGGAGACGGTCCTGGCGCTTGCTGGACTTTCATGGGCGCCCTGAAGCCTTCTTCACAACAATTGAACCTCTCTCCTTGAAGTTCTTGATGATCCGATAAATGGTTGATTTACTTGCAATCTTACTAGCAGCAATATCCTTGCCTGTGAATCCCTTTTTGTGCAAAGCAATGATGACGGCACGTGTTTCCTTGCAGGTAACCATGGTTAACAGAGGAATAATAATAATTAATAAGCACCACCCTCCTTTTAAAGCTTCCAGTCTGTTATTCTAACTCAATCAGCATGACAGAGTGATCTCCAGCCTTGTCCTCGTCAACACTCTCACCTGTGTTAACGAGAGAATCACTGACATGATGTCAGCTGGTCCTTTTGTGGCAGGGCTGAAATGCAGTGGAATTTTTTTTGGGATTAAGTTCATTTTCATGGCAAAGAGGGACTTTGCAATTAATTGCAATTCATCGGATCACTCTTCATAACATTCTGGAGTATATGCAAATTGCCATCATAAAAACTGAGGCAGCAAACTTTGTGAAAATTTAATATTTGTGTCATTCTCAAAACTTTTGACCATGACTGTAGAATCATTGAGAGGTAACTGTTTGGACTTCACAGCTATCACCAAGAGTCTGGAGCCTGTTACTGCCCAGATGAGTAACACCATCGCTGCTAAGCTGACAGCTGTGGAGGCAGCACTGAAGGAGAACGTTAGCAAAGTCGTGAAGTCAAAGGTTAGTGGCAACAAATTCAGATCATCATGTTCTCTAGAGCAGCATTTCCCAAGCTAGGGGTTGAAAATGGGATTGCGAGATGATAAATCAAATAAAATATATAGTAATACGGCGCTTAGTTCATAGAACCGCAGTCACGTGAGTAAACTTTGATATCTGCTATTAGCTTTTGTTTTTTTTCCGACAAATTTGACTAACTTTTGAACGTTTGAGGCTATAAGCTATTATGACCCAATTTTCTGGAAGCTAAGACTCTCAGGAACACACACGTCTTTCCTTCCACGGCTCTCACAAGATTTGCATGACTCATTAGAACAGAGTGGTCAGGACCAAGCATCAAATCAGCAAAAAATGATTGAAAGCAATGATGTTCTTTTCTACACAGAAGATCATACACAAGTACTGCCAGATGATCTTCATTGATGTTTTCCTGAACTTCCTAATACTTTTCTGAAGCATTTCAGTTACTTACTTAAGATTGAAATACTGTCAAAAATATTGTCAGACTGATTTGTAAAATACTGTCATAGCACCAAATAAAAAGTAAACATTGGCAGTTTACATCACTTTATTCACATGGTGGGGTCGCAATTCTTTAAAATATTAAAATGGGGTCTTGGGCCCAATAAGTTTGGTAACCTCTGCTCTAGAGCCTAGGTGTTGGTCATTGGATCAAGGAATGTAGTCGTCCTATAGCTCACTTATTCAGTGCTCTCTTATTCACTCTTCAGTCAAAATGCACACATAAAAATTACCTGAAACATTCATCTTCGTTATCCCTCGATCCCTTCCTGTGCAGAACACCACAGATGCTATCGGCCGGGCAGCTGCCGAGGCAATGCAGGGGCCTATCCAGGCTGCCTACAAGGATGCTTTCCAGAGCATTGTGCTGCCTGTGTTTGAGAGGGGCTGCCAGTCTATGTTCCAGCAGATCAATGATAGCTTCAAGCAGGGTACCCATGAGTGTAAGACAATCCTATTACTAACTGTTAACCCTCAGCATTTCTACTCCTGGCTGTTTCTTAGCTTTATGCAGTACCACGAGAGTAAGGTCAAGAACTTAGCCTAATTTTTAGCTTGTCGCATTTATCAAATGTCTATTTCAAGTAGAGCAGTGGGCTTTGTATGTATTGATAAACATTTGTTACATTTGTTTATTCAGCTGATTTTATATTGTGCTAACAGCACATCTGAATATGCCTGACAGATCTTTCTGTGTCGTACTGAGGATGTTTGTTTGTTTTCTTCATAGATATCCAGCAACTGGAGACCCATGTGAAGAACAGGAAGCAGCATGAGCAGGAAGCACAGGATCCTATGATTGGCCAGCTGCAGCAGATGATTGACACGTTCCAGAACTCAACGGATCAGCTGGCCACCACCATCACAGCAAGTGTCCGCTCTGAGGTCCAGCACCAGCTCCACATGACGGTGGGAAAGTAAGTCCAACCAACGTCCGACAGAAAACTATTTTTTTTTATTTGTAGTGATTGATAAAGCAACCAGAGACTGATCAGACATCCCGAACAGATGCCTTAGAAAGCAGTTTGGGTTGCCATATTGAGTGGCTGTGTAATGGATTTGGTTGAGTAGAAACAAATAAACCTTAATCTTGGCTTAATTTCAGTACATAAATTCAATTGAACCACAAAGTTTGCGATGCAATTAATTTAATGACGCTTGAGTTTATAGATTTTTAGGTGGGACTGAATAACTTTTTGTAAGTGTTTTGGATCTTTCAAAAATGTCTGTTTTTAGGTATTGACACATTTTCAACCATTTCCATGTTTTGGTTATATAACGGTGCCTGTTCGGTCATGTGTCCAGCCTGCAGGACTCGATCCTGACCCAGGTGCAGCGCATTGTGAAGGGTGAGGTGAGCATGGCCATGAAGGAGCAGCAGGTAGCTGTGAACTCCAGCATCATGCAGGCCATGCGCTCTGCTGCAGGCACGCCCGTCCCCAACGCACACCTGGACTACCAGGCCCAGCAAGCCAGCATCCTGCAGCTGCTACAGCAGGGACAGCTCAACCAGGCCTTCCAACAGGTGTGAGTCCTTCTCCACTCTACCTCCCTGACACACTTCCACTCATCCCATCACAGCCTCTCCTGTCCAATGCGTGGTGGATGTCAGAGGGCATTATTTAAAGATACCTGTGGTGTCTGATCTCTCTTCTCCTCCAACCCCCCTCCTCTGTAGGCCCTGTCAGCCTCTGACCTGAACCTGGTCCTGTATGTGTGCGAGACCATCGACTCCCAGCAGGTGTTTGGCCAGCATCCCTGCCCCCTCATCCAGCCAGTGCTGCTGTCCCTCATACAGCAGCTGTCTACTAACCTGGCCACACGCTCGGAGCTCAAGATCAGGTACGCATGCGCACCCACAGGAACATGTTATAAGTTGGCTGAATGTCATTAAGTTCCTCTTCCATATCCACCCAAATTAGCCTAGTTGAGTTCTCAATAAAGAGAGAGCCTATTTGGGCAGCTACAAAGGCTTCTTGATAGAATTGCATGTTAGGGAGCTTTAATCCTCCCTTCTCAGTCTTTGCCTGTATTCTCGCTAGTTTCATCTTGTCCCTTTTACCGGCCCAAATAAACTCAGTAATTATTTTGTCTATGGATTTAAAAGTATAGACAGGTATGGATAGTGATAACATGCTGATTACGTAATTCAGTTTAGGAGCTATGACCATCTTTTTAACCTGTATCCTACCCCATAATGAGATTTGAAGCTTATCCCAGCTCTTAAATTGGAGTTGAATTTTGTTAGTGGGTCAAGGTTTTCAGTAATCATGTTGTCTAGACCAGGATTTAAAGCGATCCCCAGGTACCTCAAGTTTTTAGGGACCAATTGAAACCTCCAGTTGAGGAAGTCATTTCTCAGACAATGTTTTGATAGGGGAATTACTTCAGATTTGGTCCAGTTTACTTTATAGCCCGATATCTCTGAGAATGCATTTACAAGGTCCAGTAAAGGCGGTATGGAGAGTTGGGGGTCTGACATGAATAGTAATATGTCGTCTGCATAAAGCAGTAGTTTATTCTCCCTACCTCCCATAGTAACCCCTTTGATTGACTGATGCTGCCTAATGGCTTCGGCTAATGGTTCTAATGCTAGAATAAATAGGAGGGGCGAGGGACAGTCACCTTGTCTCGTGCCTCGTCCTACAGAAAATGGAGATGTTCGTAGTCCGTTAGTGACTACTATGGATTTGGGGTCATTGTACATAAGTTTAATAATATTCTGAAAGCCCTGTCCAAATCCAAATGTATTTATTGTATAATGGAGGTAGTCCCAGCCCACCCTATCAAAGGCTTTCACTGCATCTTGGGATAAGGCTGGCACTGAAGTATCAAAATCCTTTGCCTTCCAGATGACATGCAATAGGCGTCTAAGATTATCAGATGAAGCTCTGGCTTTTACAAATCCCACCTGGTCTGGATTTATGAATTTCTTAATGATTTGATTTACCCTCATAGCCAGAAGTTTTGTAAACAACTTTCCATCACAATTTATCAAAGAAATTGGACGGTAGCTCCCACACTCATGGGGATCCTTTCCCTTTTTGAGGATTAGGGTGATCACTCATAGAAGGTGGGAGCTCACCTGTGTCAATCGATGTGTTCAATGTTTTCAATATTTCTGGGCTAAGCTGCTCTGCAAACCTTTTATAGAAATCACTGGGTATCCCATCCAACCCTGGAGTTTTACCACTGTGTGCTTGTCTTATAGTTTCGGTCAATTCCTCCAAAGTAATAGGGCGGTCGAGCCAATTCCTGTCTTCCTCTGTTAGTTTAGGAAGGTTCAAATTCTGAAAGAATGCCTCTGCTTTCTGTATATCTAAAGGACCTTCTGAAATATAAAGTTCCTGATAGAAGTCTTGAAATAAATTGTTTATTTCTTTATGATTGGTAATCAGCGTGCCTGTCTTATTTCTGATTCCACATACTTGCCGATCTGTTTCTCTAGATTTCAATTGTCTGGCCAACAGTTTTCCTGCCTTTTCACCTGATTCATACCATCTCTGCTTCAGCCTGTACAGTGAATATTCAGCTTTTTTTACTGAATAAAGTATTCAGCTCGTATTTGGTTTTCTTCAGCATTACCAGAGAAATGTTGTTAGGATTGGACCAATATTCCCTCTCCAGCGTTTTGAGCTCTGTTTCAAGTTTCTCCATTTTCTGTTTATCTAGTTTCTTAATAGTAGCTGATCGTTGAAGCATTACTCTGCGTATATAAGCTTCCCAGACATGTACCTGTTTTGCACTATTGTTTGTTTCAAAGAATATCTTAATGTGTGTGTTAAGGAATTCACAAAACACCTTGTCCTGTAAGAGGCTAGTGTTCATTCGCCAACATTTATATTTTTCTCTTTCTTCTCCTATTCCAACAGTCAGATCAATGGGAGCATAGCTATCGTGCCCACACTGCAAGCACCCACTTTACCTATGAGAGAGTGTGAGACAGAAAGTAGTCGATGCGTGAATAAACGATTTGCCTATTTGAAAATAATGTGTAATCGCGAGCGGTTGGATTGATCAATCTCCATATATCATAAAGACCAGCATCTTTACACAGTGTTTTAATTGCTTCTTGAGTTTTTGAGGTCCTGGTTAGAACAGTTTTGGATTTATCTAAAAAAGCATCAGGGACCTGATTGTAATCCCCCCCCCCTAGTACCAGAGGAAAATCACCGAAATCCAGTATTATTTTGTTAAGTTGAAGGAAGAAGTCTGTGTCCTCATTTGGAGCATAAATATTTCCCAATATTATGTTTTGTCCTGAAATCTTTACAAGTAAAATCAAGATTTGTCCCTCTTTGTCCTTAAACTCTTTTTCCACTTGAACATGTATACTTTTGGAAAATAGAATAGAGACGACTCTCTTTTTTTGGTTGAATGTATTATGGTAAGCACTGCCCACCCATCTGTCTCCCACCCTAGGAGCATCCCTTTCCAGCAGGTGGGTCTCTTGGAGCAGAATCACGTCTGAGTTTTTTTGTTTAAGATAATTCAATACCTTACGTCTTTTTAAATATGAACCTAATACTTTCACATTTTACGACGTTACTTTAATCACATTGGTCATTATATCTGAAAGGTTGTAAATATATTATTACCAAAACATGACGAGCGTTAGAATATTTTTAATCAATGCGTTTCTGATAGCCACTGCTTAGCGAATACAATGAAAGTGAATGACTGGTAATGCCCCCCACCTAGAACACTTAACTTCCCATAGAACAAATATGTCATAAACATATCCCAACCCCACACGGTACAACATTTTTTAAAGACAAAATAAAAATCTCCCTCCCCCCTAAACCAGGCTTTCATCCGTGTGAAGTGTCCCGAGGTCTTCCGAGCACTGATGCTCCAACTAGAATAAGAACGTTTTACCAACGCCAAATATAGAAATGACAGAGATGACATGTCATAGAGATGACATAGATCAACCAAAAACATTGAAAATAAAGACAGGCTGATCATTATTCTCGCAAAGAGAAGAGATTACCTTTCTCATGTAGACTGATACATGAACTGTCTAATTCCAAAAGACAGGGATGTAAGGTGAGGTCAAACACAAAAGGGAGACCGGTATAGGTCATAATAATGATAAAATAAAATAAACTGACTAACACTTTGGGTTGTGCTCATCACGCATGGCACAAACACGCCTGTTATGGCCTATATTGACCCACTATTGCTGTTGTTAGAGTGAAAACGTATAATATATATGTTTATCCCCGCTATAACCATAATACAGAAATATATGCTTGGACTATATTCCTGCTTAATCTAGTACTATAATGATGTCAACTGTAAACCAGAAAGATAAATTATAGGCAGCATTTGTAGCATAAACACTCAATGAGACTGTTAGTCACAACATATGAGGTTCTCTCACCTTAAAGAAAAATTGTTGTCTATCCGTGATGAACCACTGCCACCATGCAGATCTTCCATAGCCTTCCACGCTACTCAAATTGTTCGGCCTCATTGACGTTCATGACACACTTCTTTGCCTCCTTTGGGTCTGTGAAACAACGTAGTGATCCTCTCACAGTAACCCAGAACACGGCAGGATATTGCAACAAGTATTTCAGTCCCCGTTTCATGCACATATGCCTCACCTCCGTGAACGCATTTCTCTAGTCCTGAACCTCCTTGGAAAAGTCAGGGAAAAACTCCACATTTTACCCTTTCCTGTGAAAAATCCTGAGCTCTTTAGGTCTGAGCCGGACCTTCTCCCTGTCGGTGTATCGTAATATTTTCACCAGGATAGGCCGGGGTTGCGTGGGGCTGGTCCTGGGCGCAGTGTCGTCGGTGTCCGATGTGTTCTCTCGATGATCATGTTGTTAACATCTTCCGGTGTGTTATCAAATAGGTTGCGTAAAATGTCTTTCACACAATCTCCCGTATTTATGTGGATTTCGGGAACCCTTCTGATCCGAGGTGTGTTTCTCCGACTGTAATTTTCCTGGTATTGAAGTCGTTCTTCAAGTTTTTCAATCACAGTCTCCATTTTCTCAACAGTGTCATTTAGGCGGGTGTTCTTGTCCTCCAGGGTTGATATCCTCTCTTCTGCACTTGTAACTTGGTTGTCGAGAGTGTCCATTTGTTTTCAGTGCGCCCACTTTGTTTTATTTCAGTCACATCTTCTCTTCGAGATTTTTGTTCATTTTGCAAATCTCATTTAGAACTGGGTCATCAGGCTGTTCTCTGCCATTTTCCTTGCTAGCAGCAGCTGCAGGTAGAGACAACATTTTCATGGTTTTCGTCAAAAGTGTCTGGTTTTGTGCGTTTCGAAGTTGTTTTTCCATGTAACCGATATTTTGGACAATTAGTTAACAAAATGTGTAGCTAGGCATTGAATAATTAGTTAAAATATAGTTGGAGCTACACAGCCTCTTTAGTTAGCTGCTGCTCCTCGCCACATCGTCGTCGGAAGTCGGTGGTGGACAATTATTGATACACACGGGAAACGGTTGATCGTGAAAAACCCAGCAGCGTTGCCGTTCTTGACGCAAACCGGTGAGCACCTACAGTGCCTTGCAAAAAAATTCATCCCCCTTAGCGTTTTTCCTATTTTGTTGCATTACAACCTGTAATTTAAATGGATTTTTATTTGGATTCATGTAATAGACATACACAAAATAGTCAAAATTGGTGAAGTGAAATGAAAAAAATTACTTGTTTCAAAAAATTCAAAAAAATAAGTAACATAAAAGTGGTGCGTGCATATGTATTCACCCCCTTTGCTATGAAGCCCCTAAATACAATCTGGTGCAACCAATTACCTTCAAAGTCACATAATTAGTTAGATTGCACACAGGTGGACTTTATTTAAGTGTCATATGATCTCAGTATATATACACCTGTTCTGAAAGGCCCCAGAGTCTGCAACACTACTAAGCAAGGGGCACCACCAAGCAAGCGGCACCATGAAGACCAAGGAGCTCTCCAAACAGGTCAGAGACAAAGTTGTGGAGAAGTACAGATCAGGGTTGGGTTATAAAAATATATCAGAAACTTTGAACATCCCAAGGAGCAACATTAAATCCATTATTTAAAAAAAATGGAAAGAATATGGCACCACAACAAACCTGCCAAGAGAGGGCCGCCCACCAAAACTCACGGACCAGGCAAGGAGGGCATTAATCAGAGGCAACAAAGAGACCGAAGATAACCCTGAAGGAGCTGCAAAGCTCCACAGCGGAGATTGGAGTATCTGTCCATAGGACCACTTTAAGCCGTACACTCCACAGAGCTGGGCATTACGGAAGAGTGGCCAGAAAAAAACCATTGCTTAAAGAAAAAAATAAGCAAACACGTTTGGTGTTCGCCAAAAGGCATGTGGGAGACGCCCCAAACATATGGAAGAAGGTACTCTGGTCAGATGAGACTAAAATTGAGCTTTTTGGCCATCAAGGAAAACACTATGTCTGGCGCAAACCCAACACCTCTCATCACCCCGAGAACACCGTCCCCACAGTGAAGCATGGTGGTGGCAGCATCATACTGAGGAGATGTTTTTCATCGGTAGGGACTGGGAAACTGGTCAGAATTTGAAGGAATGATGGATGGCGCTAAATACAGGGAAATTCTTGAGGGAAACCTATTTCAGTCTTCCAGAGATTTGAGACTGGGACGGAGGTTCACTTTCCAGCAGGACAATGACCCTAAGCATACTGCTAAAGCAACATTGGAGTGGTTTAAGGGGAAACATTTAAATGTCTTGGAATGGCCTAGTCAAGCCCAGACCTCAATCCAATTGAGAATATGTGGTATGACTTAAAGATTGCTGTACTCCAGCGGAACCCATCCAACTTGAAGGAGCTGGAGCAGTTTTGCCTTGAAGAATGGGCAAAAATCCCAGTGGCTAGATGTGCCAAGCTTATAGAGACATTCCCCAAGAGACTTGCAACTGTAATTGCTGCAAAAGGTGGCTCTACAAAGTATTGACTATGGGGGGGTGAATAGTTATGCACGCTCAAGTTTTCTGTTTTTTTGTCTTATTTCTTGTTTGTTTCACAATAAAACATATTTTGCATCTTCAAAGTGGTAGGCATGTTGTGTAAATCAAATGATACAAACCCCCCAAAGATCAATTTTAATTCCAGGTTGTAAGGCAACAAAATAGGAAAAATGCCAAGGGGGGTGAATACTTTCGCAAGCCACTGTACTACCATACCCCGTTCAAAGGCACTTAAATATTTTGTCTTGCCCATTTACCCTCTGAATGGCACACATACACGATCCATGTCTCAATTGTCTCAAGGCTTAAAAATCCTTCTTTAACCTGTCTCATCCCCTTAATCTACACAGATTCTTAAACACACCTTGGATGTAATAAACCAGCTATCGCAGCTTGAGATTTAAATGTTTTGTTTGGTCTTAATCAGGTTTGTGCTCTCTTTTACAAGCCTCCCACAAGGAACATACTGACTGACAAACCTTAGTCACATTTCCTCCATGTTGAGCTGTATCAAACTGCAGCTGTAATGCTTTTTACCCGTTTAGACCACGTAACAAATGTGTGTTATGGGAACATGACAGGCCCATGAATATGAAAACATGTCCAGACAATGCACTGCCAAGTCCCTTTACTGCTCTTTAAGAGCTCAAATGATCAGTCTTAATCCAGTTTGAATTGCATCCTAAAAACTAGCAGCCTGATACTGGCCTGCTGTTGAGAGTTCTACACCATCTGTGGGACTGAATCTGTGTCTATGTGGCTGAGGCTGTACACATAAAGGGCCTTTTTCAAACACTCCATGCCTTTTTAATGCATGGTACGAAATATCTGTTGTATAAACCTATTTTGACCTCAAATTTTAAGGACTGTCGCAATGCAACAGTTTTGAACCAGGTGTGCAAGAAATCACAGAACAGATGTGCTGCTCTTGAATGTTTATTATCTAATATCATGCACATTTCATGTTCACCAAAAATGTGACTTTGTGCAAGGGCTTTTAAGGGCATATCAGTCTCAGTAGAGTAGAGACCTGATTGGGCTGTTGTCCAAGTAATAAAAAATAAATAAAAAAAGGGTAGGGCTTTGCTGAAATTAGAGGGGAATTGGGCACTTTGAGCATTGGGAGGTTAATGGCTCTTAAGCCCCAAGATTACCATTGAGAACTGTGCTTAGAGGTTTTAAATGCATTGGATTGGGTCAGATGTAAAATTGGAACAATCTGATGCGATGCATTTGGGTTGAGCCATCTGGATAGGGTAACAGGACAGTGCTGCTGGGCGATCAGGGTCACTCCACTGCGTTTACTCTGTTTTAATCAAGGTAATGCAAGGTAATTAGGGCAACTTTGTCGGGACGTGCAAGCCAATAACACTATTGGCTTAAATGGTACGATTTGAGTCTTCTAAATGCCCACGGTAACCTTCTCTGTGTCTGTATCAGTTACTTAGAGGATGCTGTGATGAACCTGGACCATGGTGATCCGGTGACGAGGGACCACATGAGTGCGGTGCTGTCCCAGGTCCGACAGAAGCTGTTCCAGTTCCTGCAGCAGGACCCACACAGTCCTCTCAGCAAGAGAGCCCGGCGCCTGGTGATGATGCTTCAGGGCCTGGTCAATCACTAGTTCTGTGCTTTTGGTGCCCAATTATGGAGCCCCTTCGCTTCCCTGTTCTGCTCCCACACAGTTAGAACAAGGTGCAGTGAATTTCATTGATGTGCTGAGGGGAGCAGAGCTGTACTTAAAGAGATGTGAGCATGATGTATAATGGCTGCACTTTCTGTACCCTCTGCCCTTTCTGATGCATTGTACATCGCAATTGAACATTTTGTTTTAGCTTTCATTTTTACGTGTAGAAATGGCAAGAACAGACTGGGTTTTCCGTTTTTGGACTTGTGTAGATTTAAAGTTTTTCTCAGTTGGAAACCCCCTGTTCATGAGTTCTATGAACCTTGCCATTATCTTATTTCTATCTTTTCCCTGTATAATAGAGGCTGTTTGAGAAATACCTATCCTAAATGTAGACAGTCGGTACAGATGGATGAGCCCTTTATGTTGTATTATGTTTTCTGTATATTCAACCATTCTGTTAAATCCAGTGTTCTGACTTTAGTTCAGAATGCTCTTTTGCTTTGAGGGACTTCTAAACTTGCTTGAAGACTTATTGAAGTAGTTATACTCCATAGAAAATGCTTCTAACAAATTATTGTTACTTATACTGGCTCTGTTTTTGCTTCAGGATATCCAAGTTATGTTCATAAACCTGATTTACTTCTGTTCTTTAGAGGGCAGCCCTTTGTGTGAATGCAATCACATTCATATTTTTTGCATGGTTTCTTCTTGGCAACTTGCAGTCTAGTTGGAAAGTTCAACAAAACTTGAAGCATGGCTTAATGTTTTTAAAGGTATTATTTGTCTTCTAAGTTAAAATGGTTGAATTATTTAGGTACAGACCCGTGAAACTTGTTATGAAGGTTCTGGTGTCATCGGTTTAAGATTCCTTTCTTAGACCTAAAGTAGAATGAGGGGGGACGTAGGGCATTGTGAACTAAGCTTGGAGGTGTTTCTTGCCAGTCCTGCACACTAGTCCTGAGACATGCTTATTTTACCAGGCCAGAATTATGTTTTTGTTTTACCGTAGTAGTGGTTGGTTTGATAAGCACCTTTGGCGTTCCAATTTATTTAACAGGACTTGTTGAAAGTTGATTCCCAACTCCAGTTTTTCAGTTATTTGAGTTTCATCAGTGAACACTATATAGTTTCTAGGTCATCTTCAGCTGCTGATTGATTGACAAAACGCTAGGCATGCCTGTATGCTCTGGAGAAACCATGCATAAAAAGGCAAACTACTATCTTCAAGGTTATAAGCCATCTGTATTACCAAGCCACAAAGCTATGTAAAGCAGACAGTAATGTCTATTTTCTCCACAAGGTTGAGAGTGAGGATGAATCTGTCCATGGAGGAGTAGGTTGATGATCCATCTTTTATTGTACTGAAAGTTACATGTCTGCATTTCTGGAAACGGCCCCTTTTTCACTCCGTGCTCTCTATTCACTAAACTAAATGTTTATCTGGAATAGCATTTCTTTGACCTGAAGTGTGCTCTTAGATAGTTTTACTTATGTTTCATAAAGATCAGGGTTAAGCAACAAGAATCACAGACATGGATGTTGATAATAGTAAGATTGTACATAAACGCTATACAATATATATAATATTTTTTCCTAGTTTGCAAAAAAAACTTTGAAATCATGTTTTGTGTATTACACATTTTGATCGTTTAATTTCCATCGTGTTTTGTTCCCTGTGCTTGGATTATGTTGTATATTTTACACTCGTTTATTTTACCCTGAACGTTTTTGAATAAAAAATGAAAATGGTTAAATGCATTGCATAGTGCCCGTTATTTCACATGTTGCCTATTGGACACCACATTGACGTTGTTACATTTTGTGGGAAATATAGTGGCCGGAGTCCCACTTTCACATAGGAGTCGTTTGAAGCAGGTGCATAAACGCGCGCGTAAAACCAAAGATGGTAACTTTTTGACATAAACATGTTTTTTTCCCACGAGGATGAACATGGGTTAATTGCCACATTGGGATTAAAATAACACTTTTCTCCCGTACATATCGGTATCCATCTAATAGGTTATGATACGTGGAGACGAGATTTTGAGTCTGCCCTACTCCGCACAAATGCGCCCTCCCTCACGCACATTAGATGCATACATAAGAGTAGGCGCTCTTCTCATGAACATAATACAGAGCAACGCTCTCACCTATGTAGCAAAGTAGCTGTGCTCAGCAAACGGATTGTAACATTTTGACGCAGATTTGTACTTCTTTCAGACGCGTCTTTTTTCTGAATTGAGTGGCCTGAGCAGAATGGTATCCCTCGTGAATTACGCGTGTCTTTTCTTGCCTGTTGCTCTCCAGCTGAGTAAGTGTTAACTTTTTGAAATTATATTTTTTCTATAGAAATAAGAGTAATGTTTAATTTGTTCGTACTATGTGGGGGTTCTTGAGTGGGATTTATTAAACTCACCTCTAAATTATAGGGGAACGAGTCGCGCTAAAGTGGACACCAGAAAATATTCCGAATTTGCTCGGTGCCTAGGGACAAAAGTAGTGAGTTCGAAATGTTAGATTACATTAAATGCTTGAATGGATAATTAACAGATTTGCTGACGTAAAACTAGGTTACGGATTAAAATTAGTTAAATGATTGCGAAGAGATGAGGCAAGTCTTTCGTTTCAAGTAAACATTTGACTATCTTTTTTTTGTCGTTTTACCATATTAGATCGTATTGTATAGTGTGTGTGTGTGTGTGTATATATATATATATATATATATATATATATATATATATATATATATATATATATATATATATATACACATATAGTAGGTACTATTATATAGTCGTCTACCATTGTAATATATTTTCATTCACATGCGCTTTGTTCTTGGGTAGCCTATTACACTACATTGCCAAGCGCAGTCGAAGCGTCAATGTGTGTGGTGTTAGAGTGAATACAAAATCTAGAAGAACAAATTGCATTGTCTAATTCTCATAATAGCCTACGCATTATATTGTCTGTATTCTGTAATAGTTGTATGCTCTCTCGGGACAACTGAACCGGTCACCTCGATTCCCTCTGCTTATTCCTCACTAAGGAGGGTGCTGATGTAATAGCCTACTATTCATTGGATAATTTAATTCGAAAACATGCCGATGTAAATAAATCATGAATGAATCACATTGCTTTCCCCTGATAGACTCCAGAAAGTAGCACATCTATCTAATCTGAACCTGTGTGGATCACAAGCAGAATAGTCTTCCTTTCAGTTAGTGCCGATCATAGCCATCAGTCAACCATAACTTATTTTCGTGTGAAACCTATTGGTAAAAAAACAAAAAGGCACACTCACTACACAACCTTTGGAAGGATTATCCCAAGAGGTTATCATGTTATGGTACTTTTCCATGGCTCTCAGTATTGGCAGCCTTTATTCTGCATAATATTAGAGAGAAAGTATTATCTGTCCTGTGAGTAGTCTACCTATATTGTCATACAGTGTCCAATGTGCCTCGTCAAATCAAATCAAATGTATTGGTCACATACACATGGTTAGCAGATGTTATTACGAGTGTAGCTAAATACTTGTGCTTCTAGTTCCGACAGTGCAGTAATATCTAACAGTTCCACAACACATTTCTAATACACACAAATCTAAGTAAAGGAATGGAATAAGAATATATAAATATATGGATTAGCAATGTCATTGTCAGAGCAGCATAGGCTAAGATGCAATAGATAGTATAGAATACAGTATATACAGTGGGGAGAACAAGTATTTGATACACTGCCGATTTTGCAGGTTTTCCTACTTACAAAGCATGTAGAGGTCAGTAATTTTTATCATAGGTACACTTCAACTGTGAGAGACGGAATCTAAAACAAAAATCCAGAAAATCACATTGTATGATTTTTAAGTAATTCATATGCATTTTATTGCATGACATAAGTATTTGAACACCTACCAACCAGTAAGAATTCCGGCTCTCACAGACCTGTTAGTTTTTCTTTAAGAAGCCCTCCTGTTCTCCACTCATTACCTGTATTAACTGCAACTGTTTGAACTTATAAAAGACACCTGTCCACACACTCAATCAAACAGACTCCAACCTCTCCAAGACCAGAGAGCTGTGTAAGGACATCAGGGATAAAATTGTAGACCTGCACAAGGCTGGGATGGGCTACAGGACAATAGGCAAGCAGCTTGGTGAGAAGGCAACAACTGTTGGCGCAATTATTAGAAAATGGAAGAAGTTCAAGATGACGGTCAATCACCCTCGGTCTGGGGCGCCATGCAAGATCTCACCTCGTGGGGCATCAATGATCATGAGGAAGGTGAGAGATCAGCCCAGAACTACACGGCAGGACCTGGTCAATGACCTGAAGAGAGCTGGGACCACAGTCTCAAAGAAAACCATTAGTAACACACTACGCCGTCATGGATTAAAATCCTGCAGCGCACGCAAGGTCCCCCTGCTCAAGCCAGCGCATGTCCAGGCCCGTCTGAAGTTTGCCAATGACCATCTGGATGATCCAGAGGAGGAATGGGAGAAGGTCATGTGGTCTGATGAGACAAAAATAGAGCTTTTTGGTCTAAACTCCACTCGCCGTGTTTGGAGGAAGAAGAAGGATGAGTACAACCCCAAGAACACCATCCCAACCGTGAAGCATTGAGGTGGAAACATCATTCTTTGGGGATGCTTTTCTGCAAAGGGGACAGGACGACTGCACCGTATTGAGGGGAGGATGGATGGGGCCATGTATCGCGAGATCTTGGCCAACAACCTCCTTCCCTCAGTAAGAGCATTGAAGATGGGTCGTGGCTGGGTCTTCCAGCATGACAACGACCCGAAACACACAGCCAGGGCAACTAAGGAGTGGCTCCGTAAGAAGCATCTCAAGGTCCTGGAGTGGCCTAGCCAGTCTCCAGACCTGAACCCAATAGAACATCTTTGGAGGGAGCTGAAAGTCCGTATTGCCCAGCGACAGCCCCGAAACCTGAAGGATCTGGAGAAGGTCTGTATGGAGGAGTGGGCCAAAATCCCTGCTGCAGTGTGTGCAAACCTGGTCAAGACCTACAGGAAACGTATGATCTCTGTAATTGCAAACAAAGGTTTCTGTACCAAATATTAAGTTCTGCCTTTCTGATGTATCAAATACTTATGTCATGCAATAAAATGCAAATTAATTACTTAAAAATCATACAATGTGATTTTCTGGATATTTGTTTTAGATTCCGTCTCTCACAGTTGAAGTGTACCTATGATAAAAATTACAGACCTCTACATGCTTTGTAAGTAGGAAAACCTGCAAAGTCGGCAGTGTATCAAATACTTGTTCTCCCCACTGTACATATGAGACGAGTAATGCAAGATATGTAAACATTATTACAGTGACTAGTGTTCCATTTATTAAAGTGGCCAGTGATTTTCAAGTCTGTATGTAGGCAGCAGCGCCTCTGGGCTAGTGATGGCTGTTTAACAGTCTGATGGCCTTGAGATAGAAGCTGTTTTTCAGTCTCTCTGTCCCAGCTTTGATGCACCTGTACTGACCTCGCCTTCTGGAAGATAGTGGGGTGAACAGGCAGTGGCTCGTGTGGTAGTTGTCCTTTATCTTTTTGGCCTTCCTGTGGCATCGGGTGCTGTAGGTGTCCTGGAGGGCAGTAGTTTGCCCCCGGTGATGCGTTGTGCAGACCCACTCCCCTCTGGAGAGCCCTGCGGTTGTGGGCGGTGCAGTTGCCATACCAGGCTGTGATACAGCCCGACAGGATGCTCTCAATTGTGCATCTGTAAAAGTTTGTAAGGGTTTTAGGTGACAGGCCACATTTCTTCAGCCTCCTGAGGTTGAAGAGACGCTGTTGCGCCTTCTTCACCACACTGTCTGTGGGGGTGGACCATTTCAGTTTGTCAGTGATACTGTATGTACGCAGAGGAACATACAACTTTCCACCTTCTCCACTGCTGTCCCGTCTATGTGGATAGGTGGGTACTCCCTCTGCTGTTTCCTGAAGTCCACGATCATCACCTTTGTTTTGTTGAAGTTAAGTGAGAGGTTATTTTCCTGACACCACACTCCGAGAGCCCTCACCTCCTCCCTGTAGGCTGCCTCATCGTTGTTGGTAATCAAGCCTACTACTGTTATGTCGTCAGCAAACTTGATGATTGAGTTGGAGGCATGCATGGCTACGCAGTCATGGGTGAACAGGGAGTACAGGAGGGGGCTGAGCACACACCCTTGTGGGGCCCCAGTGTTGAGGATCAGTGAAGTGGAGATGTTGTTTCCTACCTTCCCTGGCCTATACATACTATAGGCTAGGGATCAACTAGGGACACATTTTTATTGAGTGGATGGTCAGGGGGCCAGAACATAATTACAAATAATTTGTAGACTGCAAATTGACCACAAGAAGCCTAAACAGATGTGATCATATACAAATGTAAGCAAGGTTAGATTTTTTTATATATCTGTTGGGACTTTTTGTGGTCAATTTGCAGTCTACAAATTATTTGTAATGATGTCTCTCTATTATGCATGGGAATATTTTGGAACAGATTTCCAAAATTAAAATAACTTAGATTAGGGAACCCTGCTATAGGCTATGTTAGACCAGCCATTGAGAGAGAAAATGTATGATAGAACAGGATTTTATCTCTCTGTCTCTCTCTCTCCCTCTCTCTCTCCCTCTCTCTCTCTCTCTCTCTCCTTCTCTCAAGTTATGTGGTTTGAGAATGTTCTAAAGGCATTTCACTGCAGTACACATGCAAATGAAGCA